CAAGCTCTTAGGTAAACTTCTCACAAAAGTAGAAAAAATTCCACGCGCCACCATCTTTGTTTTGAATTTTCATCTTTTGATCTCGCGCTTCTTTCGCACGTTTCTCTCGCGTGCGTCACGCAAGAGTGATCTGTTCCCTGCGCGAGGAAACTGGTACGAGCCACCTTAATATAAGTAATCAGTATATTCAAACTGAGAACAAAGGCATAAGCCTAAGGTATTTATAAATTAACTGAGGTACTATACACTGCACATATCCTAACTGGTCAAAACCCCATCAGTTATAGTACCAATAAACCAATAGGAGACTGCAACATTTTAATCTTATTTTATACTTCAAATTTTTTTAACAATCTTATTATTGCAGCAATTAACCCTTAACCCTTTACCCTTCTCAGATATAACAAGGCATCTCAAAGATAAGGGGACACCACAAACTAGTACCATAGGCTGACCTGAATGCAAAACAGACTAGTCTAAAAATGTGTTTAAACAAGTACAGCTCCTTTGACAACACTAAAATTTGAGTCTTTGCAAACACCAAGTTTGAAATACATGTAGGCCAAGATATAACCATGTAGAAGTGCTCTGAATTTTCCAGCATCAAGTTCAAAGTAGATAACTTAACAAACTAATATTAATAATAATAATAATAATAATCATAGCTAAGTACTTGTAATTTGTGCATGTAGGTAACATAACTTACCTTCCTGTTTACTTTGTGTAACAAGGTCCCATTCTGAATAGTCACTTGATTCTAGTTCAAATTCTTCTTCTTCACCCACAGCAGGTGACCAGTCAACGAATGTGCTGTTTTGCTGTTGAAAAATAATTTAATAGGTGAACTGAAATGCAATGAAAAATTATATCCTTATCGAGGAACTGATTTGACCTTCTGATCCAAATTTTAGCCAGGTCACAAATTTCTTTTTTTCATAAAAAGGACAATTAATATTACAAACCCCATGACAACTTATCATCTCTCATACAATCATCTACCTGAATTTCCCAAACAAAATACAACAACAATAACAACCAAATACACATATCTAACTTATTATTCGTAACAAAAGAAAAATTAATGGAAAATGATTTATCACTATAAAAGGGGCTGGCAACTTAAAGTCAACTAACTAGTGGAGATCAGATAACAATCTCACCTAAAAATACTCTTGGAAAATAGAAAACTGTAACTGAAAGTCTCTAAGTCTCTTAGAATAAGATATGGGAATTGAAGGTAAAGATGATTTATAGCACGAATTCCTACAATGGGACACTTTACAAAATCCATTTCCAAGGTAGGTCAACAAAACAGTATAAATGACAGCTTTTCACTGACACTGTTAAAACTTACAAGATAGGTCAGGTTAACGAGAATCAATCGACATCACGCAACGGAACGTATCCTTCACTTCTTCTTTCATTCTTTCGATATGAGTTTCCATACAATAATTAGTAGCACTAAAGTAGTAAGGGCTATATGAGCGGGAATTTTCACTTACTTTCTCAATAATTGTAACGATTCCGGGAATAATGTTTGCACCCTGTGTAGCAGTTGATACAGCAGTGTGCACGAACACGCCATCTTGGTTGAAAACCACCTGAATACAGTCAACAAATGACATTTAATGTGATCAATCAGTAGTACAAGAGCACTGCTATGAGCCTAAAATGTTACAATAATATCATAGTTTTTATGTCCCTCTACTAATACTGATAATTGACCATAGATAACCTGACCTTTCCTTGGACATCATCGGCCGCCTTCACGGAAGGGTCCTCACATGTCGCTGCAGAGTTCGCCGCTGCCATCGCTTGCATCGAAACTTGATTGAGAAAAATAGTTAAAAATTTCCAGGCTACTTACAATTAAAATGAAAGAGCAAGAAAGATCACGTCACGAAACGTAATATTTATATTTATGACCTCGTCTTTTACTTCACTTCAACCCACGCAACAAAAACATTTTACTACGTCATGTAAGCTCGCGCGAGCTCCCGCAGCATTTACATAACCCCCTAAAATTGATATCTCGTACCCAGTGTCTTTTCAGAGCGCAAATAAATCAAAGGTATTTCATGTTATGTACTACTCAGCGCTCCTCAGAGCTACTGTTAGTGCTATTGTTAGTGCTACTGTTCAGTCATTTTTCGCTAACAAGGTTGCATCTGAAAAAAACACTTTATCAATGAGTACAGGTTGATTAATTTGTACAACTAATCATTGCTGAAACAATTATTAACGTATGTGGGTTACCTAAATTGTTTTAAAAATAGCTATGGAAAGGCTGAAATGCACATATAAATGTTCGAAAAGAACGTGAACGAGCTACGTGAACGAACAAGATAAGCCGTAACTAAGCCGTATAAAATAAGGGAGAAATCTGGTAACTAGTGAGAAAGTGTGAAATATTTGTGATGCATACATGACGGAATTTCTAGGTATTACAAAAGACAGTGTTCCTCCACCATGGACTTTTCGATTATCAATTTTAGTACGTAGTTATGGCCATTTGATTTGATTTTCGCATCTTTTAAAGTCATGGATGCGCATATACGGAACAGACTCGGGAAGGTTAGTGATAATCGTATCTAAGTGAACAAACAAACATACAAGTTTTTTTGCATGTTACCTGCTTGCAGACAAATTTTCCTTGTCAACTTACTGTAATATCATCGTATCATTTAGCTTCACAAACGAAAAAATGATTACTGCCATTTTTAAAAGATATGAGAAAATTAATTAGTGTTCGAAAGGAGATGAATCCATTAGAATGTATACAGCTGGGAATTGGCGACAACTTGTATTTGCTATTAAAAGTCTATACGTCTGGTTGGAGCATAATTATGAAATCATCACAAGTCATAGTTTGGCTCATCGATTTCATCAGAAATTTATTGAAAAACCCAACACTTTTAATGACTACCGTTATGTTTCATAATTGCTACCTCAACCTTAGAGCCGGATGGTCGTCACCTAAATTATGAAATTACACTACATTCTGCATTAGATTTCGTAATATTAAATTTGTTGATGATTTTAACACTAGGAGCATCAGTATAAACCGATCATTTTCGACCACAAAACCTTTCAAACTCATACAGTCTATTATCAATTTGGATGTTTTGTTCGGAAAACAAATTTGGGAGAACAAAACCTACCAGAAAGAAAAATTATGCACCAAAGATAACAAGCAAAATGTATGGGCAAACCCACACAATCATACGTCCTGAATGCATTTTGTATTTGTAAAGTGACATATACTTTGACTTTATTGCACTGACTTGCTACAGAAGATGGTGGTTGTTTTGTTGGTTGTTGGCTGTTGGTTGTTGGTGGTTGTTTTGTTTTGTTGATGTTGGTTGTTTTGCTGCTTGATGACAAACCAATTTTTTACAATTTTCACTTTTTCCTCCTGTTTTATGCTATCATAACACACTTTTCTCTCCCAGCTGGGGAATATCCCTCTCCTGGCTCTGTCTACCTCAATGTCCCCCTCCACTGGAATTGTAATTGTGCGTTTAAGGGGACCACTGTAGCTTAAACTATTCAAAAAATGATGCCTGTCGGGTAAGAAATTTAAGTTTAAAAAGTTTGTTTACTTGCTTTTTTGTGATTAATTATTTTGGGTATTATGATGTTTTTCTCAGTATAAACATGCAGATCTCTGTCATAACGATGTTAGGAGGGCACTACACCAATATTCCTGCTTAATACCAAACCTGCAAAACTTTAGTAAGTGAACCTTATAGTCTTTATTGCAGTTTTTAACTGGTGAAGACTGGTTTTTCAAAAGCATTTCCAATGAATGCGCAATATGAATTTTTCTAAATATTTCTTGGATTAATAACTAAAGATAAAAAAGGCAAGTCTCCAGTTTATTAATTAAAAATGAATAGTACATTTACATGAACAATCCATTTTATTGATACTAACAGTAGTTTCAGTATTCACCATTTAGAGAGGAAGCTTGGACAAAAATATGCTATTCTTAATAAGTGACGATTTGAATAGTGAGTTAATTTATACATGTAGCTCAAGTTGTAATGTGAAGGTTTCATTTTCAGTATTCAGTTATAAGTATCATTTCATTTTGATAGAACTAACAAAATGAAAATGGGAGACAAAAATTTATCTATTAAGAAAATTCTTGGATGAATTGATCCCACAGCGCACAATGATGGGAGAGAAGTTGAATTACTTGCCCTAGATGGAACTCTCCCTGTTATGATTAGAGGTGAGACTCTCTCCAGAACTGTATGTTCAGTTGATACAGAGACTCTAGTATTCAACTTTAATGAGAGATTATAAAGCAGTTAATGTCTTTCAGTGACATTTTTTTTTAGGTATTTTGTTATTGAATTGATCATGTGATAATCTTTTATTGAGATAAAAGTTTTAACATGAACCAATGAAAACTGGTCAGTAAACTAGTGAATATTTAATAAACAAAGTCACAGTTAACTCACATAAGATATACACTGCAACATTTCAACTGAATGCTGCAAGTCGTCCTCACATAATATGGTAACTGGTTATGTTGCATGATTGGTGCATTTCATAGTTGTATTCCCTCAGGGGTCAGCTATTGTTAGTAGGGTTCCCTTGTTGTTGTGTGTTTCCTAATCGTTCAACTCCTAGAAGGGATCAACATGTAACTTCACCTTATGATATCCATACATTATCCTGCAGACAGGTAATGAGAATTTACTTTAAGTTGTAAGGTAGAAGCAGTTACCTTGATGTAACTTGCTGATGTTTATTCCACTGTGAGGAGAATGTGAGACCATCAATAATACTTCAATAATACTTCAGATGCATGACTGTACTGCTCTCTTTTATATGACATTGATCAAAGTGTTTCTCTACAGCTACATGGTGTGCAATCATATTGTTGACTCTTATACCTAGAGAGAGTTACTAGTTACAGGGTTGTACTTATTAAAGCCTTAAAAAAAAAACAAATCGATACATTTACTGGTTCCACATAACAACAATGAGTTGCTTCCTTTTTAACTGTTGGCAGATCTAAGTAAGACTTGTACAAATTAGTTGCTTAAGTGCATGAATCACTGTTTGTTTTAGGTGTCACATACAACATTCCAGTGTGTGTCTGGCTGCAGGAGAACCATCCTTATGTTCCCCCTCTGGTATTTGTCAAACCAACAAGCACAATGGCTATCAAAGCATCTCAATATGTGGATACCAGTGGAAAAGTTTACCATCCTTTTCTACACGAGTGGAGCCATGTATGGTCATAAGCATTTCACTCTTATCCTTTCTGTCTATAAGTTATGCATTAACTGGCCTTTAATGCCTCTGAGTGACCAACACTGAATTTCTCTTTACAATATCAATACAATATTAAGCAGACAAGTAATGAGAATATAAAAAATATCAATTTGGGAATTATTGCTGGATAGAATGCCGATTTCTGCAAACTAACATAAGAATTGTTTGGAAAAATAATAGTAGGGAGAATTATTAATGAGATTAGGGAATGAAAGGGTTAGGCTATTGAAAATGCATTTTGCTTTTAAAGTGATTATATATGATGATGGGCTTGTTTTTTCTCAGGAATGGTAACATCATGCAAGTATCAAACAGTTTGTTATTTTCTTTCAGCCTAAATCTGATCTTGCTGCCCTGCTTCAGATTCTCTGTGGTGTTTTTGCACAGCAATCACCAGTTTATGCAAAAAATACACCAACACCACTACAACCCACTCATTACAACATGCCACAACAGCCACATTACCCCCCTCAGTATGGTGGTTATTCCCCCAATCCAGGGGCAATGCCGCCATACCCTGTAGGAGGATCTCCAAGAATGCCAGTGCCGCAACACATGCCTATGCCAGGCAAGTTTATACCAATAGTTTTGATGAAAATGTTACATCAAGACTGATGTTTAGTAATGTACTATAAATTTTAGTTTCATATGATACTGTTTCATTGGTGATATGTATTTCAATGACGATCTGTGAAAATATTCTGCATCATCCCTTGATCTTTACAAGAGTAGAAAAGCTCTTCTGACTGTATGCATTATAACCTTTTAAGTCTGAAGACTCAGTACTAACAGAATATGAGGAAGGACTCCCAGCAAGACAAAAGTCTCCAGAAAACCTATCCCGTCAACTGTTGAGGATCAGTCATCTGCATGTAACTGAATATCACCTGAGTTTTATCAAATAGCTAACTGACAGAGACAGGATAATGGTTCAGATGGACATCTGAATGGAGGAACTTAGACTAACACATCAATTATTGGTTAACTGACTGACTGACTGACTGACTGACTGATAGATTAGTTTCATTTGTCCTTGTTTAGGGAGCAGCCCAGGTAGACCAAGTGGCAGCAGACCTCCATTTCCCCCTTATCCCCCTGCAGGTGGGTCCAATATGGGACCATCCAATCCCCCTTACCCTGTAACCAATCATGCAAGGTATCCCCCTAGTACACAACCTTCTTATCATGGTCCAGCTGCAAGTATTCCACCTGTCACTCAGGCTAATTTGGTGACAACTGAAAACTCAACTGCAATGAGCAGCACTTTAAAGGATGAGGAAATTAAGCTATCACTACGGTCTGCACTTGAAGACAAAATAAGAAGAAGTACAAGGGCATTGTTTCAGCAAGCACAGGTATTTATAATCAGATTGCAACTCACTTTAGACTGCATGTCCACTCCAGAAACATTAAGCCTGGAGATAAATTTTTGTTCTGTTGTTTAATTTTAGCAGTTGTATTTCAGTTCATATCTACTGCATACAGCCAGGCCACTCTTCGAGAACCCCCTAAAAGTTCCAGTTTGTTTGGTATAAAGAGTACACTTATAAGATTGCATGATTGCATTGCATGGAATCTTAACAAACAAATGCATCCACTAAAACCAGAACCTGGATGGGACGGTTATGTCTTCCATTCAACTACAACTTTGTAACAGGCAGTAGGGAAAAATAGATCACCTTTTTTTAGCCCATGATTCTTTTGACAGATTGAATTAGATGAGTTGAACCGAACCCAGGACGAGTTAAAACGAGGAAGTGAAAAACTACGAGATATTCTTCAGAAACTGGAAAGAGAACAGGTAACATAATGACCTGAACCAAAGAACTGAAATATGATAGAACTATAGAACCAGAGAACTTAAAATAATACGATAGAACTTTGTGGGAAGTAAATGCTACTTTTCTCCTCTTGCTGTTTGTTCAGTTACCTTATTTCAGGCATATTTATCTATTGTCCATCACGCAAGGCAAGGAATGTTGCTCCTCTTGCTTATTGGATAGATTAAATTCTGCTACCTTGCTGCGGCTGCGTACTAGGCTAATGCACAAGGAAAGACGGTTGTCTCGCTCATAAAATCGCAGAATTGTCCTCGGCATAGCCGAGGGTTTGCGGAGGAAGGGTTGGGGAGAGCATTTGGAGGGAGGTAGGGGAGCCGAGGAGGTGCTGCTGACGCGTTAATACCCCAGGACAATTTTTTTTAAAATTTCCTTTTTGTTTGAGATAAAAAAAAAAATCTACTTTCATGACCCGGAAACTGACGCAGTGGACTGGGATATTAAAACATTTTCCTGGTACATCACAATGAAGAATGCGCACGGTAAACATTTGCGTGCTGCGATCAAGGAAGCCACCTTGCGTAAGATTCTAAACAGCTAAATTGTTCACCTTTTAAGACTGGGGATCTCGAAAGCCATACCCTGCTGGGTAACACGTAACCGTATGAAAGAGAACTTCGCCCCCTTCCCTTGATCCACCTAGCACCTGAATGCAATGCTATCCATTTCGTACCATTGATTGCTTATCACTTAAGATTAGCAGGCCTCACTGATGTCTTTTCATTCGCTCTGCAGGCGGACGTGGACAACGACATCAAATTGTTGACACAAAAAAATGAAGAGATTTCTGAGGTTGTCAACAAGTTAGAATCTAATTCTGAAAACCTTGAAATTGACGAAGCAGTAGTGACGACAGCTCCTCTTTACAATCAGTGAGTACATAGATTGGGTATTCGGCGGAATGATGAACTGTTTATTCGTTGAACTGTTGGCTCGAAATTTTTCTCGCCAGAATTCTCAATCTGTTTGCGGAGGAGAATGCAGTAGAGGATACGATATATTATCTCAGTGAATCTCTGCGTAAAGAAGCTATAGATTTAGAAGTTTTTCTTAAGGTAAGAGGCCTCCAGGTGTTAATTGTGGCACTTTTTGACTGAGAGTCGTAAAATCAAAAGCAAGGTAACCACTAGCCTGCAGTGCAGGCGGATTTGGGCGGGGCGAGTGGATATTCCCATCGGTTGTTCAGGCCGCCATCTTGAATTAGAAAAACAGGGGAGAGTTGGGGCGAGGTAAAAAGTTTACCAAGTAAGTGGGAGGGAGAGTGAAAAATTGGGGAAGAGGGAGGGGGAGGGGGGTTTCCCCCGTCCCCCCACCAACTCCGACATTCTCGCATTCTCGCCCCAATTCTCCCAGTCTGCAGCGAATCCAACATGGCGGCTAAACACTCGAAAGATGAAAACCACCAAAACTGCCTCCACTGCAGGTTAGGTAACCACAACTGCCCAAAAATACAAAGGACTACGTCACGAGGAGATTAAGGCATAAGGCACCTGTAAGAACTACAAGCTGTGCATCGGCGTGAGAATAACATTAATGCGGACTCGTTTTCTTCGAAATAGCTCTGAAAAGTTCTACTTAAATTTGATTTGGTGAAGAATAGTCATAACTCTAGTAATTATAGTTAAACGGGTGTAAGTGCGGTTTTCGAGTACGAAATTTCAAGCTGGACTACAAACCATGACTGCGAACAATTTTCGGTTGCAATGTCAAGCCATCTTACGAATCTCTTAAAGCAAAGGATTCTGAAATTATTTTCCGGACGTTTTCAATAACAACCAAACGACAGCTTTATACTAAAGGTTACTGAAGGTGAAAATCAGGCAGTTTCTGTCTGCCAATCAACTTTTCACGCTTCACCTAAAGGGACTTAACCTTGTCTAGAGTAAATGACAATTGATGAGTACCTCAATCATTCGTCCTCATCGTTTAATTGTTTTTTCTCTCTTTTCCTTTTGGCAGCACGTAAGGACATTATCAAGGAAACAGTTTATGTTGCGAGCCCTTCTACATAAGGCAAGAAAAACAGCCGGATTAACGGAAGTAGTGGGATAAAGTGTAACGCGTCTATATAGATATTTAGCTGTGTAATCTCTGAATTTGCCCGCCTAAGGGAGTTACGAAAGGTTTTTCTTCTTTTTTTTTTGTTTTTTTGTTTTCCTTTTAGGTAGAGTAATTATTTTAGATCGCCTTTAGCGGAAAGAGATTATTCCACAACAGAAGAATATTTTATAGTGAAGTTTCGGTTATTATCTCACAAACCAAATATTTCGAACAACCGCTACTGAGGCCTGTATGCAGCTCGTGAAATTATGAACCAAAAATTTCGCAAAAGTGGAAGGATACCTCACGTGCAGCTCAATAGTACTACAGTAGATGATCGTGGAACTGTTATTTCGTTTGGCTCCGACGAAATAGGTTTATTCTGCTTGTGTAATGACTTGGACCACGTTTTCAGTCGAATCTTCGATGTTTTTAGATATGATTTTTGCCATGTATATGTGACTGAAAAGATGTTTGTAAAGCTATTAAGATAATACTGTACCCATTAAATGACAAAAATTGGACTTTTGGTAGTCTTTATCCCTTTGTGTGTCGATGTTGTGGAACCTTATTGCATACTTTACAGATAGTACCGAAGTTGTGGTAAATGTCCTTCACTTTCACCAACTCCTAGGTTGTTAACTTTATTAGCTTTTTCCTCACGAGGTAAACAATTCACAGACCAAATGAACAGTCCACTGGCATATACTACTGGCAAACAATAGGATAGAAGGAGAGATAGAAAGTTCAAGTTGAACTAAGGTCTGAGTCAAATGTCACCCTGTTCCCTTTCATTATTTACTTGTTCCGAAGTATTGCCCCTGTTTCCTGCTAATATTTCGCTTACGCTATGTTAATAAGAGCTTCTTCCTCGTGTCGTAGGCGCTCGGCGAAAACCTACTAACACGAGCGCGCGCGATAAAGAGAGAGCGTCCGTGTCTGGGGAGTGTGACTCTTCGCCCTGGCGTATAGGTCTAAAGGACTTTGGCGCCCGGTTAATTAGAGTTCGTGCGTAGCAAGCTGAACCTTTTTCGACCCCAGGCTGTAAGCTCACCCTACACTCTTCCAAAATTAAATTAGACCAAGGCTCATGCAGAGATTTTACAATAAATGAGATTCAAATGGCGATGGGAAGAAATGAGGTGAGACCCCACCTAGCTTTGGCGACACGAACGAACTTGTCTTGGTTTGTCTAAACTCAATTTTGATTCTGTAGGTCATCTAATGTCTTTGTCTTATCCATCTCATCACGCAACGTGCTCTGCTAAAAATATCATTTATTTTAAAGACCTCAGAACGAAGCAACTTTGACGATTACCTTTTGAAGGCCTTTCACGGTGTACCTTCAGTTCGCAGCTGAGCCAGCCAAACGTTTGGATTACTCGTCTAACGAAAGAACATCATAGACCCGCATAAGCCACAGTTTTGACTCATAGAACTTCATTCTATCGGAGTTTTATTGCAACTTTTGTATGACTTACAGGACTTATGATCAAGAATGTCACAGTTAACGAATTGTGGCTGGGATCCTTTGCACTTCAGACGGCATCAATCACAGGGACATATATAAATCGAATCCCTCGTAGAAAGGAACGGACAACTGTGACAATAGTCACAATTATTTCACCTGCCCGACTACTTTGAAGATTGAATATATCAACAAAGTTGAAATGGTAAATTGGCCACCGTTACGATTATAAAAGCTGACGTTTCGAGCGTAAGCCCTTCGTCGGAGCGAAGATTGCCTGAGGAAAAGTTATTGTTTTTGTGAAAAGTAAAAACCAAAGACACTGATGGTAAGCAGTTGGCCCTCTCTACGTCACAATTTGTCTGAGAAGCCTAAATTGGATCCGTTGAATAAAACTACTGACGTGAAGGCCCCTCCTTTCTTAGGTTGGTAGGCCCGTCTCCAGTCTAAATGTTAGTACTCTTTCAAGATGATGGTTTAGTAAGTAGTTTTCTTTCAATCCTAATAATAATAATAATAATAATAATAATGATATTTATGATGATAATAATAACAACTTTTTTTTAACTAATCCTTTATTCACCATAATCACAAAATTATAAAAATTATGATAAAATGCTTGAAAATCGAAAAAAAAATGTGTTAAAATGTCTAATAAAAATGTAAGAAAAACTAGAGTATACACACTATGATAACGATAATTCACTCTAATCATAAAAAATATTTACAAATTAAGATAAAATCCTTAAAAAATCGAAAAATACATGAAAATGAAAATGTCGAATAACAAATTATCTAAAAAAAAAAGAAACTAACTAACAAATGGCAGCCTCTGAACTTTGAATATCTAGGTCTACATTAGTAAAATCCAATTTGGGCCTTCTAATTGTTCTGGATCCTCTTAGGCACATTAGGGCGGATCTTAATAATGCAAACGAAGCTTTTGCCCTGATCCAGGAAATTGTCTTTGAATAGTGTTCTCCTTTCTTGTCTGCAATGAGTTCTGCAAGGCGACTGTGATATCTCAAACATTCTTGGCCCATTCCACCAGTCAAAGTAAACACAAGAGGCGTAAATGAATCATGTTCGATGTCTAGAACACATCTTGAGTAGGAACGCTTCTTCTCATTCTCGTGCATGCGGTAAATCTGCTGCGGTTTCAGATTTCTGTACGATTCAGCGTTTGGGTGACAAACTCGAATATCGAAAAATGCAGATCGATTGTGTTCCTAGAAACCACGAGCATGAATGTCTAGCCTTGCATCTTTCGCCATGTTGGAACCACTGTTTAATTGCTCTCCTGTCGTGTCTTGGAGTTGCGGTTCGATTTCCACATCTTTGCAGACAATTCCTAAAAGCTCAGCTTCTAAGTCTCTAAGTTCGTTGTGGCGCTGTATAATAAAGCCACACTTTTTGCAGACCATTGCATGGTCCACTGTGAACACGTCCCCACAAGCACATTTGGAAGGAATATCTTCGAATTGCCAGTCGTATCGCAGTTTAATAGCGTCTCGGAATTCTCTTTTGTTGAGATTATATCCTTGTCTTGTAAGGGAAGGACAGTTAACCATACCGATGAACCCTTTTCGGTAGCCATATCTAGTGCTCGCTTGGTCTTAAGTGGTGCCCTCTCATAAACACTCTTCACTCTTTCTTTGACGTCTTCGTCCTTCTTATGCTGGGAAGTCTGTTTTGATGACTTTACTGTCGAGTCTTCCGGCAAGTGATGTTGTTGGGCTTTAATTTGTTCGGCGAGCGGTGCAGTTGTTCCAACGGATGTCTTGTACTCCCTCGGTGCTTCTATCAGCGAATTTCCAAGGCCAAGGCCACCAAAGCGAGCGGGTAAGGACGACACGTCTCTCTCCAGTTGATTACACTTGCGCCCAGTTATAGCAGGTATGAGGACATGGCTCATAGCACTTTCCAAAGGTTCTATGAAATCCTGGGCGTCAGGAACAGTCCGAAGAAAATAATAATAATAATAAGTGCAGTGCTCTCGGGCACTTTGAATATTGCCCGGACTTTCAAGGTGGCAGTTTGAGTTCCTGTTAGATGGAGGACCGTAGACACAACGGAAAAGCTTTTTAGGATTAGTTAATGTACATTTATTTTTTACTCCATGGCTCACAGGTTACGGTTTTCGCCCTGTGCTGCTTGATTAGAATGTAGCATTCAGTTGATTTCTCTGCGATTATAATAATAATAATAATAATAATAATAATAATAATAATAATAATAATAATAATAATAATAATAACTTAAGACCAAACCAGGACATTTGATAGACCTGTTTACAAAAGTTGCCTCTTGAACTAAATGTAATTTGTCTGAGGGTCCATTTCCGTGTTCAGAAGTCAAGATTTTATGCTATGTTGATCATGTATTTTTCCGACTATCTTCTTAACATAAATTTGATACTCATCTGTAGAGAACTGAATAGTTGATAAAATGAAATCTTCATTAAAGATTAGATGCATCGTTCGCCTTCTTGTGATTCCGTTCAACCCATGTATTCATCTAGCCTTTTCAATCTTTTTTTCGAAGGAAGGCAGCCTATTGTTTATCATTGTAATTTGTCATCTGCAATTGTCAGGTTTAAGTCACGAAAAGTTTCTTTGTTTTCTGTTTTTGATACGTTTTTGGGACCTGCCTGCAAGCAGCGCTCAATAGCGTCTCCTGACTCCGCATGGCAAACGATTAGACGTCCATTTATTTATAAAACCACGATGATGCCATCCCAGTTCTGTCGAACTTACCGACCAATAAAACATTTCTTCAATTTCTACATTCACAGTCTTGAACAAAAAGACGGGAGATTGATCGTGTTCAGGGAGCTTAATGGTGTTTTCAGCTTTTGAGTGACCAGATGTAATTCTACTGACTAGCTCGAGCATTATGAGTTTACAGAGGGATGGTTTGCATCTCATTCTACCCCTCCTCCCCGACCAAACTCTTCGCCTCTTTCCCAGAAAAATCTCAGAATAGGATGATTTTGCCATAAACTAAGAGAGAATTCAGAAAATTTAAGTAACAGTTGGCCTGGTGCTTTTACAACCAAAATGTTAATTCTATGTTGGCTGGCAATTCATTTTCGGTCATGGATCCTTTATTCAGATTACGTAAACTCATCTATGACACCCACATATCATTCGATACCTCGAATTTACAGTCAAATCTTCTCCAAAATTTCTCTTCGCGTCTTACGTTCTTATAATTCACACCAACAGCAGACGCCTGATCGATATCTCTCATAATCAAAAATATGAAAACTTAGCCTAAGTACAATAACATGTTTTAAATGATCTCCACTTTGTCAGGTAATTGTCTCGGCAGACAGCTTTACAGCGATTATCTCTGCTAAGTTGTTCATCTGGCACCAATTCCCATCGGAGATAATCTGGCGGAAAAACTGCTGATCTTGTTTAAAACAGGTTTTCCTTGCCAATTCTAGATAAAATTTCAGGGAAAAATGTTAAAAAAATTATTTAAGATTTAGGTTCCGTGACTGAAGCCCATGAAATATCAAATGATCGAGTGAATTTGTATTTGTCTTGGGATTGCACCTTTCTCTTACCCCTTGTTGTAGGTCAAGTGCTACACTGAAAAATTTTGTCGGCCTCAGAGTGATGGAAATCAAATGCAACGCATAAGGTAGGCCTGTCAGCTGAACTTTTTTTAAACTAAGCATCGTCTACCTTGAAAATTTTGCAACAGTGGTTAGGGCTTATTGGTGGTTTCAGAAGACTGAAGTTTCTAAGAGTTTGATAACGATGCATTAGTTAAAAAACGTAAATTTTGAAACTTTTATCACCTTTTTAGTTAAAGCACACTCTGCTCAGTAAGAGTATTTCAATAAATTTTAACATTTGTTCGAAGACAGCATCTTTTTTGTAAGGAGGACGGACATTCACAAGAACAAAAATGTTACCCTTACCCCCTGCTGCGCAAGACAAAACGCTGTTTAAGCTTTCAAAGGGCTTGTTCGAGTATTTCCTTTCGTGTTGGGAATTCGATACAATGCTGCGCTCCCTATTCTAGGCGTAGTCTTTCAGAGAGAAGGCAAATTTTTACCTCTGTTTTTAATCATGGCGTGTTCATCAAAGGTAATAAATATTGCTTCGTTAAACATGACAAAATAAGGAGATTATAATCAGACAGAGATTGAAAACTTTTAAGTCTACTTCATCCTTACATCACAAACGGGTTTTTTTCAAGTGTTACCCAGTATTTCACCGCTGCTTATCGAGTTATTAAATTGAAACAACTGCTTTGTTATTCTTTTTTTTATGAGTGTTCCTTGACCTCTTGCGCATTTGGAGCCATAATCTTCCTTTGAAGTCAAACAACAGTTTTCTTTCAGAAACTGTAAGATCATCTCACTGTGAACTACCGCATAGAAAGTAACCTACCGCGCTATCATGCTGTTGATTCCAATTAGCTAATAATTCTGCCCCATCTGAGTCCCGCCTGGGTCGCAGTGTTTCACTGAAAGAAAACGTGCGTCTTTTCATAACAAACACGGGCACGACTGATACAACGGTAGCTTTTGCTCTACATGCGACGGAAATGTGAAAACCGTGGACGTTACGCAAAACTGGTACCATTTTTAGACTCTTAGAGCTGTGTCCATACTGTAAAAATCTGCTCGGTTCTGCGTTATCTTTGATACGCCTGTTAGCGTTCTTATATATTAAGACTCGTGTCTGTCCTCGCTGATACTATTATTAGTGTTGCTATTTGTGTAAATCTTCTATAATGAAGCAAAAATGAGCTATTCAGTGTCAGGAAGATCGGACTAGATGCTCTACATGTCCAAGCAGTAAATCTCTTCAGTCGCCAATTGTTCCAAGATCGCCCGAAATCGCCTTCGTTATTTAAAATTTCCCGTAGTCATTATACGTCGCTTTATGTCGACTTTAAACGCTCACAAATAATGGCAACGTTTGGATCGCTATAAGCTAACTATGGAGCCCTTCGACCCACCGAATGATTTAATTTTTCTTATCAGGATTCTCCTCATTAGAAAGAGACTTTAATTAGATAAGTAACAGTATTGAGCCAACATGTTTGCCAATAGCAGGGTGGCCATGCCATCCTCGCTCCTTACCTTATAAGAGATGTGAATGTTTGTAGTGTTTGATCACATTCTGATCTTAATAACCAAATCGTCAATTAGCATCAGCTGCCGCAAACTAGCTAGAAAGAACGCTTTACGGTATAATGACCTTTAAACAAGTTGTAAGATCAAGGGAAACTCGTTGATTGCGAAAGGAAAAGAGGATATTGATGTTTTAACGTCACCGTGCTGTTGGTAAAGTTAAGTTAAGTGGGAGTATAAATGTTTAACAAATCTTTGGCAAATGTTCGGATGGAAAATTGTTCATGGCAGTTGTGCATGCATGTGCTCCTCACTATCAGCATATGTGATAGGGAGGCAACCCAGTGTAGGTTAAGTTTATTTATGAGTAAGTGTATGCACTGACATTGCGAGAATGGAGCTTCTTTGTTCAACACTAAAATGGATGAACCAACCGTCTTTGTAAGTCAGCTGTCTGTCTGGGATCCTCCGGCAACATCATCGAGCAAGTTGTGAGGCAAAAAGACCTTCGTATATGGGATAGTCAAATAAATCAAATTACGTGTATAATTTGCAGGATACGTGCCAAAAAAAAAAAAAAAAGACTAGAATTAGGCAAGTCGAATGTTCGAATGGGCGTGAGTTTCCGCAGTTTCGTGGGTGCCCTCATTTAGAAGATTAAATTTTTAAATCGTTTCCTTGAAACAAGAATGTTTACATTCTAAGTTTTCTAGAAATATGTGATCCGCCCGTTGCTCGGAGCTCTAGATTTTTCTGTGATAATAAAACACGTTCTTATTGTAACCTGTGGGTTTCGGCTGTTACTCATCATTGAAATGTAAAAAAACGAAACAAAAGAACAAAAAAAAACAAACAAACAAAACTAACGCTATGAAGCTGAATGGAGGCGAGATTTCTATTCAAGTTAGTGTTAGTGAAAATCTTCCGAGGTCCTCAGCATCGCATTTGAAAGCACGCTGTGTGTGTTGGGAAAGCTACTCACTGCGTAATGGGTGCCCACTCCTAAGCCAGCAGATCTCTAAAAACAGGCGGATCTCATTAACAGGAAGGCAATTAAGATCTCATTGTCTGATTGGCCACGATCTTGAGTAAAGAATGAACCTTGATTCTTCTTGAAGCATATCCGGTTCAGTGTGTTGATAAATAAAGACTTGTGGCATTGACAGCCGCCAATGTTGAAGATAAGCTCGAGCTAAACATCGCGCACGACCATGAGGAGCATTTATATATCGCTTTTACTAATGCTTGCATTACTGAAGATTATCGCTGTTGGCCATCCAATTAAACAACAAGGAGATCCTAAAGCCATCATAATAATTTTGACAGGGCAACGAGTAGAAAAACCAAATCTTGAGACATCGAATTTCAAGCAGGCAGAACAGAAGCCGAAAGACCAATGGCTGAAACACTGGGTAAAGAGGATATCAAGTAAGAAAGCATTTAAAATAGGTGAACTTCCTGCTCAATAATTTTTTTCCTTTTGTGTCAAAGCTTTGCTTCATGTTACAATTATTACTAATAACCAATGTAAGATCGCAAGAGAAACCTCTCAGCGGAAAATTAATATTACATATAATAGCCATTCTTGTTTGATTTTATTTATTTTTGACATGAGAGGGTGTTGATGGAAGACAGTTTTTAAGGAGATTTGACGTTTGCTGATTTTACGACATCTTTCAGACACGTCCAAAAGCCGACTAAGGGACCTTACAGGCCAACGTTTAATCCATAATAAAAATTTTGAGCATGTCAGAGAGACCATCACATCACATGAGTAGTATTCCACAAGTTTAAGACAATTTAGACCACAGACAAAGAGAGGGAGGCGTAATGATCCGAAAAGTCACGACTACTGTTTTTTTTTTCTTATTAAGAGAAGTCTACACAGCGATGAACTTTTGCAAACCTAGAATCACGGAAAACTGACAATCCCTTTTCTGGCGTTTTTGTGACCGGTAATCAAATGCCTCCTTTATTACTGATACGCTTAGCGAAATAGCTTTTAAAACGTTGCAGCCCGTGATATGGTTGACTGACGAAAGAGCAATTTGCACATAATCTAAACACCCACCAACACAATGACTGTTTTTTTTAGGTGTGGAACTAATGCATCTTACACTCTGTTTCCTTTGTTGCCATTAATAGAGAGCAAAAACGGCAGATAACTCTCCCAACCGAACTGGTGGACCTCAGTAAGGATGCAAGACTTGTGGTACTGACGAAAATGCGGTGTTTTGGTCTGAAGGACTCCAAACGATATTTGTTTTTGCCGACACCGGCGTAGGACACGTAAACGACTCAAGATTTTAAAAGTTTTAAACTTGAATTATAAATTTCATTAGAGGTGTAAATCTAAACTGTTATCGCATGCGTTTTCGTCAAGATGATGTTATTGTAAGCTATTTATAGAATTTTAGCCTGTTTGCTAAGCTCGTATGAGATAAATCCGTGGAAGGGCTACGTTTGTAAAGGGGGCGTTCTGATACTCTACGACCGGAAAGAGTACGAAAGTTATCTGGACCGCATAGCCTTGTTGATTTATTTGGTTGACATCTTCACAGTTGAGATGAAAAAGAAGAACTGCAGAGAGCGAATTAAACTAAAACAGATGTGAGCCTGTAAAAGAAATAAATCACCAACAGCCGCCATTGATATATATGTCATTAGCTGCAAGAGGGCAAAATGCCAGAGCTAGCAGACAAGGCTATTAAAATAGAATTACGAAAAACGTGATGTTTAATTTGAGTACATTTTATGACCAAGCTTAACTTGCAAGATAAACAAAGATAAGCAGTATGGGTCAGTATAACACACAGGTCAGTCAAATCTTCTTATCACGCCTCTCTTTAGCACGAAGTATTACACCTTTCCAGAAATAGCAGGCGATTCGCGCAAATACGTTCCCTTCAGAAATTGCCTTCAAAATGAAATTCAAGCTATCGATGTCGGTCTCTTCTAAAGAACTCATAAACTGCAAAGTCGCACGAAAAGCATGCCTTATTACTGTGAATGCATATTAGAGATTTTTCTGCGCCTTTGAGAGGAAAAAATGTGTTCTCTGTAGCTCTCCAACAGTTGTATCATACAGCTAGTTTGTCACTACGATAACCAAATTTGGGCATATAATGTAGGGCCAGATCTTGGCTTTTCGGATGTCATGAGTCCAGCGTTTAGGTTCAGGATGTGGTTTACACTGAGTCGACACTCCAGTAATTTCCGTCTGGGAATTATAAAAACCTTCGTTTAGTAATGCATGCTGTGTGATAGTTCAATTGGACGATGAGTAGCATGAAACTATTTTTTTTCCAGCTGAAGCAGTCGAAATGAGTCACATCTTTACAGATACTTAACTCGTATCTTTATGGAAATTAAACCAGATATCTGGATCATCATATTTTCAGGCAGTAGAATTTGTTTGCAGAGAAGATTACTTAAGATTCTTCGCAGTATTTTATCTTCACATCATCTGCCCTACGGTCAAGCAATGGGGAATTGTGAATTAGCTAATTGCATTATTACCAATCCGGATGAGTGGAATATTCGGAATTATTTTAATTCGCGAACAAAAATTGCAACTGTTTACGTAACAAGAATTTCTTGTCACTGTTTCAGGTCCAGAAATAATTTTAGAAATTAACATAACTCGCTCCAAAAAGCAACAAACTTAAACTTTGTCGATAATCAATCCAGCCAAGATATTGTATGTTAAAACCTCTCCTTCCACCACCAGTTTTCTCCCGATCCCTCACAATTTGCACCAGGCTCTCGCCGAATCCCTCGTAATTTCGCACCGTTTTCAAGTGTTTGTCATTGCCGAGGTATGAAGAACTCATAGGGTGTCTTCTATGACAATTCAGTGTGCATGGCAAACATTGACCAACAAGGGACAACAGAGAACGAAGCAAAGAGGCCATTTCTTTTTTATTGGAGTTTCATGTTGAAAGGGAACGTGAGAAAGACATATGGGACGATCTATTTTTGTTTTAAAGGTCGTTCTGACTTTCTGATATATGGAATGCACTGAGCGCAATCGATCGTCCATGACAACGTCATCCTGCCCAGATGATGACTGTTTTACCCGTGTTTATTTTCTTCCGTCATCGGGTCTTGCATCATTACGCGTAGAAAACATTTATAGCCGCACGTATATTACGTAAAAATAGAAATGACGATCAATCAGATCTTAAGTAAAAAAACTATCTTATTTTTCTGAAAATGAGCGGCCGTCAGAACCACGTGTTCAAGTGAAATATGAAGGTATCACATAAACACGAAAGGGCAGCGAGTCGGTGGATAACCATTTTATCGACTTTCGAAATTAATCGGAGTAAAGTAAATTGGTATTTTTGAGAGTTATTACGTCCCACTTATTTCCTACAGTCAATGATAATACCCATTATCAAGTAATTATATTGAATAGCTTTAATGCATTCCTTAATCGCTGAGGAACGGATCTCTCCAAGATGGCATCCAAAGACATTTAATCAACCGACTCCGTTTTAGAAACAATGTCAAGCAGGCAAAAAGTGCTTTGAATTTGTTTAATGCACTAAAACTACTTAAACCTAAGTTGTTTTGGTAAGTGTTTGTACTAAGACGAAGCTGAAATGGGCTGATATCTTCATAATTACCATGTCATTCTGTCGTCATACAACAGTCGTTTCCTTCCCAAATAGCGTCCTTTTCATAATGAAATAAAACATGTAATGGGTATTTTTTGCAAGGTGTATTTTAAGAGATAACTAATCCATTACAGTCAACTCAATCTTCGAGTCTTTAAGGCTTAGGCTTGGCATGAGATAGCAAAAACAACGTCCTTGAACGAATATCAAAGATGTATTTATTATAAATAGATAATCATTATATGGCTTCACTTTTTCCGTTTACAAATAAATAACATTCTGATGATGCAAGACTCTCTTTTTTCTAAAAAGCGTCCTACTAATAAATAACATTTCATCCAGATCTTTCTTGAGCTGGCACTCTGTTTTTCAGTTCCTCGCAAGAGTGAACATCGTCTTCGTAAATTTCACCAAGTATCTGCTCCAGAAAATCTGCCGTGTTTCGTCTGGAAAAGCAAATAACATCCGTGTTAGACAATACCAAGTAGTTTGGATCTTCTGCATATCATAGAGCCGAAATGTACGTGTAACAACTGCCAATTTGTCAAACTGCTTTAGAAGGGAACCCAGCCAATAACTTTAATTGTTTCATCTTCATTGCGGTTGCAGTTGTTGAACCAGAAACAAGCAACAGGAAGTGTCAAGAATGTGGTTCAGTTGCTCTCGTGATTTCAATTTTGTAAACATGTTGTTTTTACTCAAATTGTACAATACAAGGATGCTAAAGTTTACCACTTCGTGCAAGCGACTTAGTTCTTGAGCTGTCATAGTCTGTGGATAACAAGTTAAAGCCGTTGCTATTGGTTATGCAATCTTTGCTGTTTGCATGAAATCTGTGAGCCTAGTTGGCTTAGCTAGCATTTGGCATAATGCGAAGAGATAACACCCTGAGCACAATAAAGAGGATCAAGGTCCAAACAATCTCACCTTAGATCTGTGCGTTGTTTTGTATCTTCGAACCCACTTCGATAACTCTGATACTTTTCTTTCTAGCTCCAGTTCTTTGTCCTTCAGTCTCTTAAGCTTTCTTCTCAGCCTAACTCCATCCGATACCTGCTTTCTCTTGCTCTTCTTAAGTTCATCTCTTCTTGCAGTAAGTGATAAAGCAAACCCCTGACTGGTTCTGCAGAGGGAAGCCAAGACGAGGAAGAATACAAAGGAAATCGTCAGCACTGTAGTTGTTGTCATCTTTCTCTCAGCGTGTCTATGCAAATGTGCCTCGCGATACTTCACACAGCGACCTTATATACCTACTCACCGATAAGATAAATCGAATACTTATTGAATGACTCAAATATAGATTGGAATGATCACGCCCCCATTCCTCGAAATAAAATGCTCCAATGACACTGCAAGCTTGAAGTATCCATTCATTTGAATCCAAGCTATGTTCTTGGACAACTACACCTCAGAGCGCCTGGAAACTTCTGTAAACTTCTCGCCACGTAAAGCCAAACAACATTTATATGACATAAACACGCAGTTGTCCTAAAAAATTTAGCCAACAGTGGTGTCTCATTGAGTCTTGTTATATCCCGTGGCGGTCAGGTCAATAAATATGCAGACAAATAGTGGTCGTTGAGGAATATTTAATGATCCATGACGAGCAATTCGAACGTTTTGTTATGCAGAATGATAGCCACTGAGTCGAGAGGCTACTGAAAAAAATAGCGATTCTATCTTAATTACTCATCCCGCCTGCTGAAGGGCACTTGCATCTGCAAATTTATTCTTAAAAGGACACTCATTGGATCTCAACTGGACATAAACCGTTTATTTAAAGATAGAAATGTAAAAAATGCAATTTGTAAGCCTTTTCATCATGGTGCTAACTCGTGGCTGTCGTTTTTCCGCTGATGGCATACTGTGCTGTGACCACATAGTCGAGTTCCACACATAGCTTTTAAAGTTGCCTTAAACGGTTTCATTTTCTGATCGTAATGTAAAAGTCATGTATAGTTACATAATGTTGGTATTTCAGGGTAAACCACGTTGGCTGAACATAAAAATGAGACTTTACCGGGAAACTTCTTTCATTCCGCTTCTTTAAAAACTAAGTTGTTGATTTTTCAAATGTCTTGCAGAAAAAATGCCGATATTCTGATGTCGTGATTCAAGGTCCTCATGGATCCCAAAAGTGTTATAAGATTTTAAAATAGCCCAAAAAAGTTAATGTTTCACTGAGAGTCATCTACTAAGGATCCACTATTGTTTTGTTTGAGTGGTTTTGTTGTCATTCTCGAGATTTCTGTCCAACAATACCCTCTAGCTATTCATAAAACAAATGACGCTGACGTTTTTTCGGTTAATGTTCCCACAGTGTCTCTTCTTTTGGCAAAACCGAAGTTGTTGAGATTTCAAAGAACTCAACAAGAGGAATTTTTGGTATTTAAGAGAAAGTTAAATTACTGCGAAGGATCGTGCACATATACGTAAGAAAGTTAAATTACTACATGAACATGTTAGCGTAAGTTCCTCTATCTACCAGGACCAAGAACGTAATGACATTTCCGTTCACCTTTTCCACTGTTACCTTTAATCTCAATGTACCTATGGGTAAAAAATCCAGAATCCAACGGAAATTTTCCTACGCATTTTTAAAATGTTCGGTTTCCGGTATAGAAGGACTTTGTTGAGTTTAGCAAACAAAAAGCACTAACTGATGACATAAATTAACTCGCTGACGAACAGCGGGCTAAAAACAACTATTACTTTTATGATTTTCTACACGTACACAACTGTACATGGGCTCAAATTTATTAAGAGATTTAGGTTGTAAACAGAAAGAGAGTTTCATCCAAACAAATATATCGGTAAAATCTCTTCAGATATTACCGAAATTATTTTTTGCAATGATGTAACAATCGCGTTCTCCCGGTCACGTTCTAAAACCATCGAAAATTGATTCTAGAAAACCGGGAAATTTCTTTATTTCTATATATTAGACTTATCGACATGTTACGGTTTTAGTCCTAATTTAGCCGATAGAATACTTAAAATTTCTATTGTATGTCTATATTTGGTCAATGGGGCGCACGTAGGTCTAATGGTTTGCGCGTTGGAATCTGGGTCCTGTTTGTATTCTTGGTTGAGAATTTTAACTCTCGCGGAACATGTGCCCCTTATAACCAGGAACATAAAAGAGGCACAAAAAACCTGCAAAGGAGACTGGCAAGACACAGGTGGGAAGATAGGCTACTATGGACTAACATCATAAGGAGTTCCTATAGGGTTCCAGCAGTTATGGCGAGTCAGACCCAGGGTGCAGACTTTACATATATTTATTTACATCTCGGTTTGGCTCTCTTTCTCAGGAGTAGGATTCGTTGGTGAAAAGCCACAACCTTGGTCACTAGGAATGGAAATATTTCCTTTATGATTATCCTTGCAATGTTGAATGAACAATTTTGTTACAGAAGTTAAAGCAATATCCAATTTTGCAAGAAGGAATAGGGGTGCCGGGAACTTATTTTTTAAGGCCGTGATTCAAAGTTCGACTTTTTTACGAATTTTCCACCATAATATGCCAAAGATTGTCAAGGCTCAATATGGCAGCGGTCTGTATCATGCAAGGGTAAACTTTAACGTAACCTGAGGAGTGATTCGAACCTTGCTTATTCTAGGAAGAGAGGTTTTTCATACCTGAAGCAATGCTTTGTTTGGATAAGAAATGGGGTTTGGAAAGCGATTTACATACTGACATATTTGGGGACCTATTTCGCCCAGTCTCTAAGAAGCTACATTTCCCACTGCTCTTTGATATAATCAATTTTTGACTTTGAGTATCATTCTAAGATCGACTTAAATTTTGTTTTTTGCCCAATCATCGCTCAATGGAAAGGAACTAGGGTGAGAAACAAGGCATGGCGGCTGTACCATTCGATCCAGGGTGCAAGTTGCGATTTATCGGATTAAAGCTCTGGCTCAGCAGTAGCCAGCAGAGAGCGTTGCGACCCCCATCTTTGTGGCCACGGTTCGGTACACGAACCTTGCCTCAATATTGAGTTTGTAGCTTATGCTTAGCTAGCGGTTTTGTGTGCTCCATGAGGCGTTGAGCGGCGGAGCCGTAAAATCTAGTGGCGAAGCCACAAGAGGTTCGAGAGTTCAATTCATCCCCAGCTAAACAAGCTAATAAGTTTTTTATTGTCGTTAAGTTCGCTTCCTCGCTCCAAAGGTTTTTTTCTAAGTTTTCCGGTTTTCTCGTACACTCCAAACCATGCGAGCATAAAAAGACGACCGAGAGCCACGTAAAACAATGAACTTGCCATTGCTAAACCCATTTTATGATGTATTACATCATTCAGTAACTATGCTAAACTCTTGTCTGATAAGTAGGTTAACGTTTATTTGACCAAAGCCACGAGAAATGATGCTTTGAGTTTGAATATCTCTACTGCTACACGTCTGATTAATATTGTCTTTATCGTCTCACAGGTACTGTAAATAACACAGAAAGGTCGAGAGGAATTTGCGAAGTAAATCTTCGCTATAATGGTTTCCAACGTATGTACAGTTGACAAAGGCCTATCATTGTGCACTTATGAATCGTAGTTGAAAGTCAAGCTTGAGACACTGGAACATAGTTCATTCTGTAAAATTTTTATTTATGATTGGGTCAATCTCGATGTGGAACCCAAGTGTCGACAATAATCAATTTGCGTAAGCTATAATTTACAATGACTAGACAAAACTAAAAAAAGAAAATTCAGGTATTTTCCACAAAAATGTTATGTTAAGCGCTTAATTGGTACCAAAAGGTCTAAGGAAATTCCATAAAAAGGAACAAATAAATATAATTTGAAATCTTCGCAACCGATTTGCACCATTTTCACATATGTACCAATGGGAAAGCATTTTCATTCCTCGTCATTGTTAACGTTTAATGATGGACAAAGTTAATAAAGCTGATATAATCAAGTCTTGGCAATTTATTCCAGTCTTTTCGAGAGTGTGTGAATTTGCGCTGTTCGAAGTATGCATCATTTAAAACATGATTTTTAGACTTATTTCGCACCAATCCCTTTGTTGGATCTTGGTCTTCTGTTCTTTGGAGGCGGGCAGGATATTACAATCCAACGTTGTGTCTTTACTGCTAAATGTCCTTAACAACAGGACGCGTGTTTTCCATGCTTTTCCAGCAGCGTAATTTGTGGATCACCAGATGGGCTTCTTTTTTACGCCCCGATCTCCAACATCGAAAATTTTGCTCTGCAAGATAGCGACAGTTTTAAATTTAGATTACATGTATAGGCCACTACGTTCTATCATTCTTCGGTAGTGTTGATCTAAATTAGGTTTCCAAGATCACATGCAGCGCATTCACCACTGTGAATTATTTTTAAACTTTTTGTTTGTTCTTCTCAGTCAGTGAACCGCAAAGAGCAAAGTCAGTTATAAAACGTGCCTAACTTTTCCTTTATCATAAATGAATCTTTCCACCGACTTCTTGTGATGGATCAAAGTTTACACTTATGAAGCTATAATTGTTTCGGATATATTTCTTCCACAACAACCGAGAGATGTACAAGATACGTTTTTTATTTACTGCATGGCGTGTGTTTACTAATGACGATGTTTACTTGTAATCTTCTTTTTCTCTCTATCAATAAATTTCAGTTCTTCACGACGAAAGTGCTAAGTGTGTTTCTCAGACTCACACTAAACCTACCTTCTTGAGATAATCAACTCGATTTGGTTTCATATGTTGCCATTATTTTCCGCGTGTAGAAGTATCTACAAAATTTCCATAATTTCGAATGCGCAGAGATTACAGTGGATTACACTCACGTTTTCGGTAGCGCAATTACTCGCCTCTATTCAAATCATCGGCATCGACAAGTGACAAAATCGCCAAATCAAACGAGGACGATACTTCTGCCTCTACCCCCGACGCATTAAGCATTTCATTGACGACGCTTATAAATGTAACACTCACTTAGTTGTATTAGCCTTGTAGCACTGAATTAATTATTTCTTTATTATATCGTAAGTCTTGTGTCTACAAACCAGACTCGCTACTCACCTTCTTGGAGAATAGTTTCAGCCAGCGTTTCATTTCCCTGATTCTTCGTTTATTCTCTTTTCGCTTTCTCTTTCTCCGATTTTTGTTTCTCAGGCGAGCTTTTCGTCGTTTCTTCTTTCGCTCGTGCCCCTTCTTTTGTATATTTCTCACCCTGCCATCTGTAAGAACAAAAACAACCCCGTGACTTTCCTCTGGAAACGAGAGCAATATCAATGTGAGTGTCGTGAGGATGACAAGAAGCGTGAACGTCTTCATTGCGCGGCCGGGACCACACGAATTACTTCGGGCACTGTCTTCAAGCGCGCTGTTGAATAGAGGCAAGTGCCTAACCACTTCTTTGCTTTGTGATTTAAGCTGCAATTTCGTCCTAATGGGCGGCTATTAAGAATATTGCAGCAAGTGGTAAGAGTGTTTGTTGACCGCTGGGAACGTTCGCTACACTGCTAAGATAGCCTGCTTGGACTGATGTATGCGGGGGGAACTGAAGCATTGTAGCGTCATAAGTGAAATTACCAAGGAATTCCAGGTATGCTATGAAGAGTCTGAAAGTATAATATATTTGAGAGCCTTGAGGCAAACAACAGCATTTGCAGCGTTTATTCTCGTGTCGTTCACAGTTTAACTCTCAGTTCAAACAGCCGTGTAATTTTGGTAAATTTTCTGAGTACATTTTTATGAAATACTGTCAACACCTCGTTAAGGGGATCATAAATCTCCAAGTAATCGCCAATGAACAGTGTTGTGATGTGTAGTGTTTACAAAGGGTTAATAAAGCTAAGAACGTGAGTTTGCCGAAGCATGACTTAAAATAACGTATTTCTATCCAGGCTGACTTCTTGTTCATGATGCAAATATGACATGGAAATTTCGAAAGAATGCGCTGATTGTAATCCTTATATTTTTTTTCTTTTTTCAGTACTGTGATTTTGCGAAACTTGTCAAGCTGATCAAAAGTGAATTTCTTTGTTAGTTTTAGCTACTACAAGACAAGTGCACATCCCCTGAGATTCCTAGCTTCTGAACATCTTTCAATAAAGCAGGCTTAGCCAGCTGATTGCGCAATATCATCATTGTCTTCAGTAAAGATTTTTCGGGATTGTTTGCTCAGTTTGAAATCTCTGTGATCTCGGCCCTGGGATTGCGGAAATGGCGGCGACCGACTCGAACACATCAGACAAACTGGTGCGGTTCACCAGGGTGTGGACAAGTAGGTCTAGTGAATTCACAAAAGATTAAAACCACTTATACCCTCGTCACCATTATTGTCTTTGCAGTCTTTTTGTTTGTTTGTGATAGAACACTTTAATTTCACTATTGAGAAAAATGCAATTAAAGTTGATTTAGGAGTGTCGCAGTTTCAAGGGCACCTAAAAAACTAGTCTCTGAACACGAATATGCAGCATCTTAAAAAGCTACTGAAAACGATCGTTATATACCGTGAGTCCTTTTCCTTCTTCGGGTATCGTTCTAATCTCATCTTTCATCTTTTCAATTTACTCATAGTCTTTAAAACAGGTTAAATTGGTTTCCTTTATTTTTGTTAGGCCGGATCCTAACAAAAATAACCCATAGGCTCGCAATAATCAGCGAGCACAAGAGTTCGTGTTTTTGCTTCGGAGTCATGGAAAAAAGTTATACTTCTATTTTAGAAAAAAAAATTGATTGCATTTCTCTGAAAGTGCAATTAAAATTCCCTATCGTCTTGGAACAAAAGAGAATTCGGTAATAACGACTTTAAGTTGAAAAAGACTGACAAGTGCTCTTTTGTCCATCCTGCATTCTACACATTTTCAACTCCATAAATCAAAACATCTCCTATCTAGACAAACTGTGGCGTTTAAATGAGGTGGAACGAGTGTTCTTGGAATCTGCACCAAGTCACGAAAGCTTCTTTAATACTCCTTCTCGATTATCGTCACTTCCATCCTCGGCCTATATTTCCACAAGATTTTCAAATATTTTGAAAAACCACAATGACGTTTGTAAAGTAGATAGCCTAAGAAATGACGAAAGCCTTTGACTTCTCGGTACATTCCATTCTCCGACTGAGAAGCCGGGATCTAAGATTCAGAGGGAAGAAACTTCGATATAAACCACCAATTTACGCAGATCAGTTTAGTATTGCTCTTTATTTTCACAACGTGGGAGAAAAATGTGGCACCCTATCAAAGCGCGGCACTCCGACAGTATCCAGGCAGGCATTCGGAATACTGCTTTCAGAAACATTAATATGTTGCTAGAAACCCTCAAGTTTAGTGTTAGTATCATCACGAGCGCCAAGTGACGTTCACGCGAACACGTTTTCCTTTCTCAAACATGTTAAGGCTCTAAAACTGAAGTTAAACAAAAAGTAGTTTGTTATATATTCTCCCTGAACAAAATAAAAATCTGCAAGATAGTGCAGTCCCCCCAATGCTATGGGTTGAATTTCTTCGCGACAGCTGGAGAAGGGCTTTTTCCTTCTCTGGCGACAACATTACGTTTTTTAGAGAGACCTCTCCGGTCAGCGGACTACTTACACAAGGAAGAGAGAAAGTCAGTTGGTAAAACCAATTCAGTTTTAAAGGGACTCGCGACGACACTGAGAGAGAAGGACTTCTTGCTCTTCTGAAGTGAAAAATATATTTTAATGGGCGAACTGACTGTGTTGTATCTTGAAATAATTATAATAGATTGTTGGCTGCGAGAACAGCTTTTCAATTCAGACTTGTTTGATGATGTTCAGTTAAACTTTCCTGAGCGATTGAGCTGCGCATGTGGATAAAGATTTGTGGTACTGAGCTTGAAACTGGTCACACATTTAAACAGCAGAGAGACTTGGTAATTAGATAATTTTCCAGGAACATCAGTAATGATTGGAAAAATAAGTGAAAAAACTTGAATAAATAAATTCAGAACTTCGACGAGATCTACTCCTCTGTGGCCATGTAGATACCGTTGCTGCGCCAAAACAACTGTGTTTTGATGCCACATATTGGGAGTAGGGTCAAGTGTGAGTGCCTTATTAATTTCCGCCCTCAAAAAGAATAGAGTCAAGTATGGAATAAATGGTAAGAGAATATCTCTTATTAGATGGTCCATATTTCAAATCAAATATTTGCCCTATCGAACCGAAAGACCTCCTCATCTCTTCGTTTAAATGGGACAAGTCACCCACGAACTTTTCATAGCTCAAGCCAATAGTAGAACTTATCATGTTTCCCTTTCCCTGGATTCGAAACTACCAGCTTTTGGGCTAAAAAAATAAATTATCAGAAACATCGATCTAAGGCCCCCGATTATAAATAGAAAATACTAAGACTTTCGGCCGAATTTCGAAGAGATTAATTTTCTTTACTTTAGTTTGTTGATGTGCTATGTAGTCGTTATTTTAATTTCTCTCGTAAAAGCTATGCGCGTAAGCTTCTCCAGTTTTCCAAGAACAAACAAATACTTCAGACAGATCATTCCCTTCCTCTTTGTTATTGGATTGCAAAACAGTGTCAGAGCATTAAAGTGCACCTACACCCAAAAAATTTTTTTCGCTTAACGAAGTAAGCTTATTTTTTTGAGTATTTCTGCGCAAAAATTTTTTTATTTGCTCAAATCTTCAATTTTCTATGCCCAGTCAAAATACGGAAAATCGGCCGCCATCTTGCCCCACGACCGAGTTTAAAGAAGAATGGCTCTAGCGGGTAATGTGACGTCAAATCGAGAACACGAAAGTCTGCATCTCACACATTTTCACTTGTTTGGGAAGATTGTCGTCGATATCGTCCGAAATATGCCGACTAGGTGTGTTGTATGAAGATTGTATGGAGCGCGATACCCTCTTGCAAATTTCGCACGTTGCTACATCCTTCTACAACACACTTAGTCGGCATATTTTCGGACAATTATCGACTACAACCTTCCCAAACAATTGAAAATGTGTGAAAAGCAGACTTTCGTGTTCTCGATTTGACGTCACATTACCCACTAGAGCCATTCCTCTTTAAACTCGGTCGTGGGGCAAGATGGCGGCCGATTTTCCGTATTTTGACTGGGCATAGAAAATTGAAGATTTGAGCAAATAAAAAAATTTTTGCGCAGAAATACTCAAAAAAATAAGCTTACTTCGTTAAGCGAAAAAAATTTTTTGGGTGTAGGTGCACTTTAAGTTCCAACACTTATTTTTCTGGGAGATCTTTTTTTTCAATAAGCACGGGCTAATTTTTAGTTTCTCATTTAGAGATATTAAATTTGGCAAAGTGAAGTTCACTGATTAGGGGTAGGGGTAGGGCGTGGTCCGTTAGACCTTTGACGATCACTCAGCTATCCTCGTTGAAAAACTGTCTACTCTAACCGTACAGTACCTTCTATCACCCACTCTAAAGTAATGCACTTTTTGACTGTCGCATCAATAACCAGGGCCAATCTAGCCGAGTGCGAGAGTCTTAAAATAGAAAAAGAGACATATTTAGACACCTTAAAGAAAATCGGAAAATAGAAGCGCACCATTTCTATAAACATGAACTTGCCCCAATGTTATCTCAGTAAATTAATGACAGTGTCAATATAAATAGCAGTGCTTCCTTTTTCTACGTTACTCAGATATTGTACTCGGCCCTTCTTGTTTATTTCGGGGATCTCTAAATATGCGAGTTTACAAAATTATAAGGGAAATTTAAGCATTTTCCGTCCAAAATGCTGCTGAGAATTTTTAGTGTTTCAAGCCACAGTAGGATGATCTCTTTCTCAAACTAAATCAGAAGGAAACTAGCTTGTAAGAGGCTAGGGTGGACCTGCAAAAAAAAGCACCCTGCCTGCCTCGCCCGATGGGGGTAATATCTTGCATTGCTCTCTTCAAAACAAGTGCATTGCTTTGTTTTAATACAGACATTTATTGAAAGTTTTTGGAAGAGCTCAGAAGCTTTTTTAAAGACAATCCTTGGAAAACAAGGTGTTTCAAATGTGTATACCGTCAGTGCTAACCACCTAAGGTTGCAAATTGAAATAAATTTTTACTAATTTTGATAGATGGAAGGGGGCAAAAATTCTAAATTTGGTGCAACGCTCCAAGATAGACAGCTGGTGAAACTATTTTGAGATGGCTGCTCATTCTTCACTCATCCTTGACTTTGGGAGCGATAAATTGGCATGATAAATGGTTTTAAGAAATCATAAAGCTGTTGATCGTCTTATGGGCAGAGCTTTACTCGAAGTTAAGAGCAAACGTTTTTTAAGTTTTAAAATTAGCCAGAGGTTTCTCTTTACAGCGGGACGTTATCCCTGGGTAAAATTCTACTAAAAATTCACTCAAAATTCTACTACAATTTAATTAGCTTAAGCGTTTGAAAAAATTTTGAGATATTATCAAACCTGAGGGGCATAAATGGGCGTTTGGAGTCAGTGTTCCTAGACAGCGGTTTAAAAAAAAAGGTGTGTAATTGACACCCTACTCTAACACCAATATCACTTATAATTGAATTGTTTCTATTTACGTAATCGCCATGATACGGTGAGAGTGCTGTTAAGTTACGCACTGTTTCACTTAGCACTCATCAATATAGTTGACATTGAACGGCAATATGACTTCCTTCCGTTTGTATGATGTCTGTTTATGGTTGCTATGGGATTTAATTGATCGGTTAACTTGTCAATACATCTCTTTCTACCACGCGCAAAATGTCAAACGCGGAATGCTTCTATCTTTTGACACAAAAGCTTTCAGCCCTGGACGTCATTTGCTCGTCAAAAAGGCGACCATCGATGGCATCGAAGCGTGAAATGCGAGCACATAACGTAATAGAATCAACAAATAATACATTTGCGTCTACAAAGGATCAGCAGGATTGAAAGGACGTGTATTTAAAAACGTTTCTGTTTCACCAGTTGACACCGTTTTTAACAACATATCATGCGTTTAATCACGTTCGTGGCACTGATTGCGAAACAATTATTCCATCTCTTAAGTTTCATTTAGTATTAGTCTATTGATCTGCTCTCAACTATGCTACTTGAAGATTCCTTTTGCTTTGTCACTATAGTGATTACAGAGCAATTTAAGAAGGGAAAGGGTATATTCATTTATCGAGTAAAACACGCACGAGGAACCAGGTAACGTTTGACTTATCAGCATTCGATCCCCCGTTATTTTCCTGCATCAATGAGACGAAATTACATCACATCCAACCACAGCGACAAAATGCGCACGGGAACATTACTACGCACGTTAGATTGTACCAATCTTCATCTGAGAGGAAATGATTCTCACGCCTCCAACGACTCTTCACGGTGATCATTGCCTATATTGCTATCTTTTCCGCCTACAAACTAGTGCGTTGAAGTTTAAGATAAACAAATATAGAATTCCACTTCCAGTTAGCAAATTCGCTAGAAACTGTCGAAGATCCCTCGCATAGATGTCGGCAAGGACCGCTTTGGACTCAAACCCGACTCCTTTCAGTCAATACGCCTACGTATTGATCAGTAGTTGCCTTACACTTCAACTCATAATTTGTGCACTGCTCGTGGAACGCACAGTCCAACTACTCATCATTGCCAATTTAGTTTTTAGTCCAGCGATTATCTTGTCTCGCTTCTCAAGCCGTTCTCTGAGTACTTGGTTCCTGTTATGAACTTCCCGTTTCAGCTTTACATATTTCTCAATCTCCTCCCTGACTTGTGAGATGATGTCCTGCTTGGCTCGAAGGCGATCCATCATTTCTTGCATAACACTGTCGCATCTTTGACTTATCTGCTCTTTTTCATACCGTAGTTTCTCGGCCTGAAGTAATAGAGTGTCCTGAAAGTCGTGAGAATTCTTTATTTGACTGTTTTTCTTGGCGAGCTTTGCTTTCAATTTCTCAATTTCGTGATATGCCCTCGCAACGTCGTTCATAATATCGATTTTACTCCTCTCGAGCGAGAGCAGTGCGTCATTATTAACTTGAATTGTTCTCTCTTGTTGACAAATTGTTGCTCTTATCATGATTATAAACGGAGACGGCAGAGCCTAGTACTATTTCCCCCGATTGGAGAAAAGGATTTGATATTTTACTTTCGAAATGTTTTTCTTCTTCTTTGTCAATACATTGTGAGTCGACGTTGTATCTTCGTAGACCTCGAACGAACGACCGGACTGATCATAGCAATTCGTTCCCGCTTCTGGGTTGCAGCTGCAATTACTTGGTAACAATCAAATCGTGATAATGGCCAGAATCCTTCGCTGAAAGTAAATTTGCGTAGTGCCTTATTCCCTTGAAGAAAGTTCTCCTTTTTTGTCTTTCAATAGCTCCAAGACGCCAGTAATGAAAATTCTGCAATGACGAATAGCACCGGAAAGTTAATGCAACAATATAGTTGATGTGTTTGCTGAGTTTGCTCTCCCTTCCCATACATGTGCTGAAGTATGGCGGATCAATATGGCAGCTTCATACTTTAAGCTCTGGTGCGATGAAAATGTTTTTCGCTCTTGCAAATATAGCTTACCAGTATTCCTAATGTTAATAATGTTTGTGTGCGTATTTTTCTTTTGTTTGTCGCTTGTCTCCCGGCAGTGGTAAACAAAAGCGTCGTTCATTGAAAGCCTATTAACATTTGGTTGATGTTTTAGCTTAATACACGCGAATAAAAATTGCTGAGCGGGAGTCATTGTTTAAGAGGATGGAAATGGACTTTTAATTTTTTGTACAGAGCCGACTCTCCTTGTACAAAATTGACTGTACAAAACTTCATGACGTTTGTTCAACGAATGGATAGTAGCATGTGTTACTAGTATCTATTCTGCGGTAGTGATATCGTCATCTTAATAAATAATCGTTTACTGTTTAGTGGGAGCCATAAATATCTGTCTATGCATGACGAACGATTTGCAATTATTTAATCAGTATGTGTAGTGTTGATTTGTTCAGAGGCTCGTTCAACAGGCCTTGTCGATATCACCAGACATTAAGCACATTATTTACCCCAACCACACTGAAGTGCAGTGACATGTTAGACTTCCGTTATAAAGACACTACAGCAGTAGATCTGTTAAACAAGACATTCAGCCTTGCCCTTATGAAAGCGTTGATAGCAATTTAATCGAATGTGGTAAGCGTTTTTGTTCACTTCATAACCTGGTGACGCATGATTTTGAGCTAATTGCAAAGTTCTGCCATGTTCTCTCATGCCAGCAGCGCGCGCATTTCATACCACTATGACACCTAAGCTATCTCGTTATCATTCGTCTAAAGTACTTACATGCATGAAGAAAAATTGACGCCCTTATAATGACACTTGACGTCTGTGTTAATTATATGCGAGGTTGTGGTAACACGTAAACACTGTGTTTCTCTGGCGTTGGTAAGGCAGAACTAAAATTTAATTTGATTTTCTGCTACTGTTACGGAAAGGGTCAAACAATGACGAAGTGCTGAGTCATATGATTGAAGATCACGACACATGCACTGGACTTGAAGGTGACTGAACATTTTCAGCCGGCACAGACAACTTTTGAATTGCCGTCACCTTGAAGAGATCAAATATGGCAGCGGATGGTAAAGTCGCTTCGCTGCCCTCAATTGAGCTAGACAATAATTTCGATCGCAGTGAATTCTCCCCAATAGACGGTCGAACGGAAAGCAAGACTTGCTTTGAACAAAGCCTTTCCTGGGAAGTTGCAGTAAACCAGGAGTTGCTTGAACCAGAAATTGTAAGGGCGAGGAGCGTTAGCCCACATTGCAAGGTCATACTTCCATCCACATCAACACAAACCGGCAAAACCAGGCGGGTCGGAGATAAGCATGTGAGTACAGAACAAAACGAACTTCGGCAAAAGAATCTGAACAGATCAGGAACATTTAACCATATCTCTTTAGACAACCCTTACCGAGAATCAGGTAAGTTGTCAAGGAGCGGTGAATTCGAGCTTCCAATCATCCCATCTCAATCAAAACGACAAAGAGCCCTCACTGAACCGTATCCACTGTCTTCTTTTGATGAAGGTGTTGACATCGTAGAAGGCAATGTGTTTCGTAAGAACCTGAGTTTAATGTACCGTCAAGGCAAAGAAGTGAGAAAACTGGAGTATGATAACACTGCGTCGAGAAGAACTTTACAGGAAGCACACGATATGATAGGAGAACTCAAAGCCAAGATTGAAAAGAGAAATAAATTCATACGAGAGAGGAACAAGAAGGAAGGAGACGTCGCCCATGTTGTTGAAACTTTAAAACGGGAAAGGGACGAAAAGCTCCTAGAATACAAAACGATACAGAAACGAATGACCGAAGCACTGGCGCTGAAAGACAAAAATCTTGAAGATATTGAGGCAGAGAGGACACAGACTGAGGGCCTTTACCAAAAACAATTGAAGGAGAATACTGAACTGATGAGAAAACTTGAAGCAAGAGAGAAACAAATTAAGCAACTGAAAGAAAAGACGGAAAAAGCAAAGAAATGGAAAGATAACGTAAGAAACTAACTTACAATAACTAAAGCTCAAATCATTTGGGTGGTTGAGGTCCTAAATAAAGCTGGAGCGCCGTTCGTCACATCATCAGTTCATCAAATGGTAATTAGGAAGCCCTTTCTTTAAGGAACAGTGTCATGGATTGTGGATCTCAAAACAATACGCGTAAATTTTTCAAGTTCGAGTCTGTCATTTGCTATACTTTGTGAATTCTCTGCGAATTAAGCTACCCTTCAAGTTCCTTCACGATTAATTATTTCTTCTGTTATGTTCCTACCTTAATGAACTGATATTTTCAGTTTTCTCCCTCAAGTTGAAGGGAGACGGCTTGAACATTTCAAACAGTGACTGAAAATACTGTGACACTGCTCCTTAATGGGCAACGGCTTTGAACATTTCAAACAGTGAATGAAAATACTGTGACACTACTCCTTAATGGGCAAGGGGTTTATGTATGACCATTCCGTAAGGCAATACGCCGTAAGCAACCAAATGAAAATGTCTCGCAAGTTGGCTAGAATTGCATCTGTAGCGTAAATTTCTCAACTGGGATAGATCTAACTGTGACCTTTTTTCATCATTACTGTTTGTAAGTGGGTCATTTGAAAGAAAAAAAAAAAACAGATATCGTGGTACAATCGTGAATTGAGGTTCTGATGATAAGGAGGTGAAAGCTTCTGGACTAGCATCAGGGGGCCAATGGTAGTGACATTTGTCTTGACTAACCGTGAATAAAGGAGTGGGTAACCATCGAGAAAGCAGCAACGTACAGACCATGTTAGGCCTCGTTTGCTCGTTGACTTGGCATAACCAACATAACATGCCTCTGTACGCAGTATATGAATAATGCTAGCTTTCCTCGACAGTACAAGTTTTGTAGCCGACAGCATTTGAGTAGTCTCCTTCGCAGCCGTTGTTTGGACTCGTCACGCAACGCTCCCTCCCCACCAACCGGCCGGTTGGTGGGGGAGGGAGCGTTGCGTGACGAGCCCAAACAACGGCTGCGAAGGAGACTAGCATTTGAGCCGCACAAGAAGATACGTTCACTTCTTTTCGTGGCACGGCTTTGTAAGACATGAGATTCTGTTCATTAATAACCCCAAACAAAGGTGGTAAAACTTCGTTAACAGAGGAGGTTTTTTAAGCTGTGAGCTTCTTTGAGGAGTGTATAGACGATTTCTTTTGAGGCCTGTTTTAGCTCCGTCAATCAAAACAAAATCCCAGATATGTCACTTAATTAATTTTATTAACTACCCTTTGGCGCAACTGATAAGTTACAGGCCGCGATTGCATCAGCTTAAGTCTGAACTTAAGCTATTATTTGTCATAGTTTTCTATGGCCTCTTCGATTTCTTTGTAACCTTGTCTTCTGGTTAAGACGTGGCACAGGAATTCTGCTTTAAGTCACAGGTGAAAATGAAATCACGACCCTCACTTCGCTGACCCAACCCCCCCCCCCTCCCGCTTTCATCTTACTCTGTCTCCCCCTGTTGGCCACTGCATTGTATGTAAATTATTCTCGCTTTAACGTTTGTTTTCAGCAGTATATTAAGGAGCACGAAATACCTCGCACTAACCGAGTTTTAGGTCCGTAATGTTAGTTACGGACCGAGTTTTTTCTGCCATAAATCAGTGTGGAAAAAAAAAAAGCGAGGTTCCATGCCCTACATTGAGGACCGAGAAAACGCGGTCAGAAGGATACTCAGTCTATCTCGGAGTTCCGGATAGAAAGGAAAATTTCAATTCCAATCAAACTTTTGAATTTAGTGGGCCGTACAATGAAATACGGCCTGCTGTCTAAACAGTATCCAAGAATTTAAATTAAAGCGCGTCAAAGGTATGACATAACATTTTTATGATCTTCCCGTTTGACACAAAATTGAGAATGCGCGTCCGTGGGCCAGAGAGATAAGAACTCTGAGAGAAACGATATCTCTAAAAATCTTGCGATTAAGATTTACAGTGCAAAATTGTATTAAAAATCTAAAGGATATGAGTGTAAACACCTTCTCGCAAATAAAGATGGTTGATAATCAAAAAAGAAAACAAAAAAGACTTCAAAATCAATGGACATTTTGGTTATTTTAGGTTCCAAGGTAAATAAGTAGAAGGCCAGCAGGACTGGAATATTAACTGTTTTTATTATTGCATTGATATGACGACAGTTGTTCTTAATGATGAAAACAACCAGCAAGAGAAAGGGTTAGAATATTTGCCGACAAAACGTTTAAACAGAAAGGAGTCGTGTGTATAAATTATACGGCTGTTAAAATTCAATCACAATTTTTTTTTTTTTAACAAAAAAGGGTAGTTTCAAGAATTAGAAGCCATAAATTAATTCCTGTACATCATTTTTTCAAGCGCTTTCAAATAAACATTTTAAGTTTTTGAACACAACTTCGTTACATGACGACTTCGGTCGCGTGAAAACGTTCAAGGAAATTTTTTTCTCTGCTCTCGATATAAAGTTTTCCAACCAAACAAACCAATCTGCCTCTAGCGAAAAAGAGCTCCGCAATATTTGAAGTGCGATATTCACGAGTGAATATCTGGTATCACTGCATTTATTGAAGCAAAAACTTATGTTAGAACTTAGTTATGTCAAAGAAGCTAACCCTTCTCAAAATTATACTTTCGGTTTTCTTAGTAGACCGCCAAGCCAGATTATTGTCAACTATTGCTAACATTGTCCTCGTCTTATGATAACAAACAGCTTTAAAACTGGTGCCGTTTGTCCCAAAATCTATTTGCTATATACCATCAAATCAATCGCGAACCAAAACAATTAAAAACATATTTTTTGATCATCTGTCGCTGTTTTCTTTTACTTTTACTGAGCCGAAAAATTAACTTGACCGTCCCTGTTTCTTTTTTGTTTCAAATTCTTTCCCCAAAAAAGAATAAAATAATTGATGACACGTTGATTAAGACTTCGCTACCAACATTTTATCGTTAGCAAGTTACCGTAAGCTATCGATTTAAACTCTGGTTTGCCTTCGCTTAAAGTGCGCCGATATCAGGAGAATCCATAATGATATCGACACACATGCAAGTATATGAATATTGCTTTGTTTCTCGAATACAAAAGTTTTTAATGTGATCTCGCTTGAGAGATCTAACTTCGGTTAAATAATATGGTAATCACAACTTTTAAAAGACCGAAAACAAAAACCTCTATTTAGGACAGCCATTAGCATGAATTATGATCATGAGGTCGCTTTTGTGTCATCAAAAAGAAGCTGGACAAACATCAATTGAAGAATCAGCTGGCCATTGTCTCCATTCATACGTGCAGGCCAAGAAATTTTGCGATCAAAATTAAAGCCTCAAGCGCACGTCCTTCGCCGTTCCTTCTATCAACAATAACAACAAAAAAAAAAAAACAACATTGGAGTGAAATTCTCAACTTTTAGCAAAGTAGTCTCCCTGTTGTGTCAAATGGTTGCGATAGTCACACAGCTCTCTACTTTCTTGATTTTTAAAACTAAGCGAAAATAATCGCTCTCAGTAAACTTATGTTCTTTTCATCCATTATGCTTTTTAGGGTTATGAAACACTCTTACCATCAGTCAAGAAATAACAGATAAGATAACAATAAACCGCATAGAAAAACTAGCCCTGGCAATATTTTAATTTCCTTCAGCCGGAGAAAAAAAAAAAAAAAAAAAAGCGATAATATAAACGAACGACTCATGCAGCTTAGCCACTTTCAATGTATAAAGAAACCGCCCACAAAAAAATAAACTGAAATCGGAGTTTAAGAATTAAAATTGTAAACAAAGTTAAACTGAATACGGTCGTTAAATCTGAAACGAACCGTTCATTTAAATTTTTTTTCTGGCGACAGAGGAAAGGTGTCAAGAAGTGTATACCGAGAAAGGTTATTATCATATGTTCATTACAGTTTAAATATATTACACACAGCAGTTGTCAAGGTTTGAAATAAAAATTGCATAAAAAAGAAACTTAACAACAGAAAAGGAATTAGTTCATTCTCTTTTAGTTGTAAAATAGTTCAAGTTTCAGGATACAAATAATACTATCTCGGGTCAAGCGAGCAAAAATTTTGAATGCGCTTTTTTGCGTAGTTAAAACAAAACAAGGAGGTGAGCAAAGTGGAACATTAGCTAGAAAAGATTCAATCACTGTGCTAAAAGTCAAACTTTAATTTCACCAAGTTCGCTAACTAAAGTTACAAACCTCAGTATATCTGTTCCATGTTATACTGTGGTTCATCTCTTGAATACAGCGCGTGAATATCACTTATACAGGTGGCAATCATAGAGGAATATTAATGACTTTAAAGGAAAGTGGTATCTTAAAATGGATCTTTATCGTCGCGCGCGTTAAAGGGTAATGGCGCACGATTTTAAAAGATTTTAAGCAACACGCGACACCCAGATCGCAAAACAACGGCGCGCGCCGAAATGGTAAACGGGGTGAGCAAAAGACCACATTGTACATTCAATATGCCTTTTTTGCTCGTTTAGTAGTCAACTAAAGTCGCGTAGTTTGTGTACTTAATTACAAAACGCTTAAAATATGCAAGGACAAGGGGTACATGCAAAATTACAATAACAAGATTTTATAAAGTCAAATGGTTTTAGAATTCATATGGTGCGATATTTAAAATTTAAGAGGATCAGTCGATTTAAAAATGTTTTTTTCATTGGTGTTCATTGACGAAAGAGAATTAAAATAAATAGATTTAAAGGTAAATTTACTTTATTCCAATGTTGTGTGTTTTTATCCCAATCCAATCTGGTTGACCCTTTGCAAGTTTTTCGCCGAATCGCCTTATTTCTCGTTCTGCGATGAGCGTTGTTAAATGCACCGAGTGTGACCACAGTGAGGCTTGTGAATATTCATGTCGCATTGCTGTTTCAGTGAAACTCGTAAGACAAAACACTTAGAAGCTTCTCTGGCGTGTCAATAAGATGAGCGGGACAGATAGGGTTTTGTAACTCCAAAAACGTCGCAAATTCCGAGAACGAGTCTAAAACGTCCCACTCAACTGTTAAGTTCATCTGCGAAGTCGCTATGGACTGTTGATTCATCGTATTGCCTAATGTTGATCGCTTTGAAACGGCCTCCAGGCTGTACCCACAATTACCACTGTTGTGTAAGATTTCGCTTTTTATTTCTGAAGATTGCGCAATTCCATCCTGTCGAGATTTTCTAGCGCTCTCTTTTTCATGTTTTCTGCGGATCTTGACATTAACTTTTGATGTTTTATGATTGGGATTTCCTTGAGGAGACTGTTTCAATTCACATTGCGTCTCTGGCATTGCTTGCTCCCAGGTTTGTCCCCCACTTTCTGTACAAGCTTTGGGAAAGTCAATGTGATGCAGTCTTGTAGTGTTCCCAAATCGAAGAGCCATACGATCCAATTTTAAATTTCCGGTTATCGGCTAAAAACTCAAAATGAGCACTTTGGAAGTGTCCTAATCTTTTTGCTTGATCTGATACGGTTATCGCACAGTTCCCTTTTGCCGCTCTTTACAAAACGTGCTTTCAGAAATAAATTTTAAAGTAAGGCCACAAAACACACAAGGCCAAATGTTTACGACTGGGCGACAAGATAAACACTTGAAAAAGAGTAAGAAGTCACCACTTCTTGACTTGTGGTCGAGTTCCCCGGGAATTTCCTTCGACAGACCGCTCAACCCAGAACTGTTGCGTTGTTCTTTGCTTCTCTTCTATAAATCCGTTTGCGTGTGTCGTATCGGGCATAGCTGACACGTTGTTATCGTTAACTTCCATGAGAAAGAGTAACCGCGAAACATATGGTACCTGTTTGAAACACAACAAGGAAAGTCGAATCGAGTCATTAGCCAAACATCTGCTTGAAGAGACAGTGTTATTGGCTAACGATTTCTATTGTTTAGAACTCACCTTCTTGCCGTCTTTGTCTATTGCTTGCTAACCGAGTATCAGAAATAAATTAGCTTCTTAAGGACTGTGTAAATGGCGATTTACGCAATGTTGATAATTTCCTTTGAATATATTGACTACGAGCGTCAGGAGGATGACTCGAGGTGGAGAGTGGTAGAGAGTCAGTTACTCAAGACGCTCAGGTTACCCACGTTTGTGCATGCAAAATTATTAACGTCTGTTTGTTTTTCATGATTGTTACTCATTTATTATTCACACAAATTAACCATCACATGGAGAAATTTTCAATTCAGTTTAGTAGCACACTAGAAATTGCTTGTGATTGTCAGTAACCGCACTGACAAAGGCCAAACAGTTATGAAGCAGAGAGATTTCAGCATAATATGCTCTTCAGCGGGTTCGGAGGTAACCCCTTTTCTTCTAGAACCGGTAACTCATTAGTTGTACGACATCAAGTACATTTTTTTTCTCTTGTGAATTTTCCCTGCAAAAGAATAACTGGTTATTGTGTAGATTCACCTGCTTTAAATGTTTTCTTACAGTGACGAATTTAACTGAATAAATACTCGCTAACGGTCGCTTATCACCTTACGAGTCTCGCGCATAACTGACGAAAGATGCAAATTTTCATTTCTCCCCTAACAGAGATTTTCTGCTGTTCAGTTGAAAAAATTCTCACCAAGCGTTCACATTTCAACAAAGGATCCCGAGCTTTGTTTCAAGTGTTCTCGCCTCCCCCTAGCTGAAAATGTCGAATTGTTCAATTTCACTTGAATAACGGAAGTCAATGATAAGCAAGTCGTTTTCTCGATGCTCAATGTTGTTTTTGGTGGTTAACATTGTTGGCGTTTGAAATTTTAATGACTTGAAAAAGAATAAGAGCTTCCTTTGCTTCCTTAGATAAAACTCTAAAATATTAAATTTCTCCCTACATTATCTAAGTTGACTGTACATGTCTCACAGAACCTTAAAAACCTCCGAGACGTAATTTTCATTCTATTTCAATCTGCTTTTAGCCACTATGTTGCAAACGACTATGGAGTACGAATCAGTTTTTTGTACTGAGCTCGAGTGCAACCAGTGCGCGAATCAAGCCTCTTTAAATAGGAAGTGACTTAACAAAGCACCTTGTTTAGTGAGTTCTGTTGACTTATCTGTGTCTCTGTGAGTTAGATTCATATTTATATTATTCCTTTGACTATTACTTTATCGTGTAGATATTTTCTGGATATCGAGCCTGACCTATACCCTGACAATCCTAAGAATGAGAATAGTCATAAATCCATTGGAGCACTTTCTTTCCAGGTTACCAAGTAAATTCTAAGATGTTGCAACGAGACGCAGATTTTTCTCCTTTACGCCGCAGGGTTAAAAAGTAAAGAGATTTTTTTCCCTCAAGAAACATTTACACAGAAGCCCTCTTCTCCGATAAGTTAAACTATTTTGTGTAGGAAAATTGTCTAATTTACCAGGTTAATTCGCCAAACGATAATCCAAAGAGTCAGACGTAAACGTAACTTTCTATACCAAACGATTAATCGCTGTTTTGTCTCTTCAACCCATTTTTATACGTTACCTTCTGCATGAAAAGACATCATATCAGGCCTTATATATTTCATAATTACCACCGCATCGTTCTTTTAAGTTGATCTTTCAACGTGTAGTTAAGTATTTTTTTGAGTCGATGTAAGAATTAAAATTGCAAATCTAAAATGCTGAAAAGTATAAAAGACAAAATTTCATTGTGAGGACAGCTGAAAATTCCGTTCGTAAAATATACTTGACCTTTAATGTTTTGTTGAAAAATATACAGTTTAAATAGATCTTGGTTCTTTGAATTATATTTTTTGCTTTACAATTTATTAATTTATCGCTTTTTTCAGAAATCGCTTTGATTATAGGACTGAATATACAACCACTCTATGCTTAGTTTCTAAATTTACTTAATTCTCCTCTAAATAATTTAGAGTAAGCGTCGTACCCTTTGGAGACCCGAGACACAAATAATTTTTTATTAATGCTTTTCGTCACTTTCTGGCGAAAGAATGTGGCTCATTAACTTTACATGTTTACAAATTATCAGCAACACATGTTTGAATGATACTTTGGAGTCCTCACACTTTGAATTAGCATGCACTTGCTCTCAAATTTAAATGAATATTTTGCACAAGGTCTAACGAGCAGGGGCTAAATCATGTCTAAAGGACCTTCAAGTCCGCTAAATCTACAATATAGTTACAAGTGAATCGATCAATGTCGCTAAATCGAGATACTTCTCGCTGTGTTTCTTTTACAAGAACGAAGGGAACTACTTCAGTTATTTCTAGAGCAACTAGCTGGCCATCACCAGAAAGGTTCATTGATGATACCTTGGCATCTGGTGTAAACACAGTAAAAAGCGTGAGCTTGGTCTTGCTCAGTCTCCAGAAGCAAATTGAGCGATCCTTCGAGTCTAATCCCCCTGCAGTTGTCATAGCAACAGAGCCATCGTTAGTGGTGTAAATTCGATGAATGGCACCGAGGTGCGCATGCATAAGCCTGTGAACGCACGTTCCATTTCCTACGTCGTAGAGCTCCATAGTGCCATCAAACAAGCCCAAAATTAATGTGTTTGTTTTAGAGATTATGGCTAATGAATGCACATGGTGTTCCGTTTGGGATTTTAAGAGAAGCCTTCCTGTATGCACTTCATACACAACTGCAGTGTAGAGCTTGGTTCCAAGATCGTAGACTATATCTGAAAGGAGGTTCCCATCTGTAGCCAACTGCATTTCTACAAAAGAATGAAGTCATTAAAATCTTCAAATGAGCGCACAAGGGCATTCAAAAGCATTTGAATAGGTATCGCAATCGATTACTTCTCCTTCTGCATGTGTTACTATTCATAGATGTTCAATTTAGCCTTGCTCGGCAAAACAACTTTAATGACCAATCTTAGATCTTAGATAGGGCATACTCTTTGAGGACGGCATCGACATTTTCATTTAACATGTGCCCATTAAACGCCACCTTTTACGATTTTCTCGGTCCTAATTATAAGTGCGCATGGATGAAACCTTCGTCACTGTCTGTTCGAATTTGCAATGGCGTGTATGAATGTTCTCATACTTCATCGTTGCTACTCGTGTTTTTTTTCTTTAATTCAGTATTTTTAGCGAGCTTTTTCCAACAAACCAAAACAGAAATAATTGCACTCACATATCACTAGTGGAAATCATGAAAATTGAGCTGGCTAATGTTTAGAGTATTTACACAGGCAGACTCACCACTGAAATCTGCTTGAGATTCTTCCAGGAGGATTCTTTGGATGCACATCCTCTCATTCATATCCCACACAGAGTAGCTATACCGCGACATGGCCTCATCTTCGTCGTCTGTTACGCTGTGTCCACAGACACAGATTTCGCCATCTTGGGAGTGTACTAGTCTGTAACATACACACACAAAAAAAGACGAAGAAATTTTAAGATTCGAGTACTCTAGTCTGTTACCCAGTGTTACAGAATGAAATGTCATCAAAACCGGTCGATTCACGAGAAATCTGTTTGGCAAATTTGCATCTGTGGCGAAATACTCACAAACTCAAAGAACAGATTTGGCATAGCAATAAATTTGATGCCGTAAAGAAGCAAGATATCATCCTAAGTTATCGTTTTCACTGACCTAATGATGTGTTCGCATTTCAACTGATCTATTCTCCTTCCATCGCAGATATGGAACACATATAGAGACCGCTGATCGTCAGATATGGCAATCACCTGAGCCTGTTTGCGAACAAAACAGCTGTTTGGTAGACCTCCTTGACAGGTATCCCCATCAAATTGACGGATAAATTGTCTCTGGTTCAAGTCAAACAAGTGCATCTTTCCAGATGACACCAAGACGACTCGACTGTCGTCAACAAAAACTACTTGAGGTTGTATTCCATTCTTAAACTGGATGAAATCTCCGCCTTGAAAATTTATTAGACGTACTCCATTTTTCTCCCAGCAGATCGCATGGTACCTAAAGATACTGACGACTTCTAGCTCGTCTTCCTCGTCATTTTCTTCATCCAGCGACGAAATATTTCTTTCTAAATCCCACAGTCGAACGATCTTGTCCCGAGATGCCGTAATAACGTGATTAAAATCGACAAACTCCACCAGGTGAATAGTACTTGGGTAGGTCAACCTTTGTTCAGTAATGTGCCCAGATTCCAAGTCAAACACTTTTAATGCAGCTCGGAAAATGTTAGCATTTGATAAAAACCTTGAGTCTCCAAGTGTCAAAGCTTTTGATTTGTCCGACGATAATGCATAGCATCGTACCTTCTCTGAGAGGTCTGCAAGCTTACGAAGTGGAACTTTCTTTGTAACATCCCAAAGTTCCACAATGAAAAAATTGGTCAGAACGGCTGATCCCCTCCTGGAATCTGGTGCTCCATCACTCATCACTAAAAGCAACGTGTCAAAGGCTGTGACACCTATAAATTGTACCGTGAAGCCAGGACTGATCTGCATCTTCTCTACTTCACCGGTTTCTAAATGAGTAGCTCTGATCCAACTCGTTGACGAAGTGGCTGTGGATAAACTGTCCCTGCTTGCATAGAGAACATGCTCATTAAAAGAAGACAAAATCACCGGTGATAATATTGCGGTCTTCTTTGGTAGCATATCGTCATAAATTTCTTTAATCAGATTGCCTGTACGCAAGTTAAATAGCTTGATGTGCTGGTTAAAAATCGTCACTAACAAAACTGTACTGTAGCGTTTTAAAACGCAAATTGGTGCCACCACTCTATGCCCTTCCAGAGAAAACACCCTTTGGCCGGTAGAAAGCCTCCAAGCAGATATAGAACCAGGCTTTGAGGTCACAACTGTTGAATTGTCGGGGGATATGACCACAAACCAGACATCATCACCTAAAAGGTCATAGTAAAATAAGAGATACGACTTGAATGTGTCATAAAATCTGATGATGACGAGTTTTCGATCCTTGTTAAAATTTGCTGTGGATTACTAAAATTGCAAAACCGCAGCTGGCCTTGTTTCTTCAATTCTTGGAAAAATCACAAAAATAAGACATCTTTAATTTACTGCAGACCAAAGTAACAAGAATTTCAGTCGCTACATTTTAAATCTGCAGTTTTGGGCGAAACATTTTACCTATAGAGAAAGAAAGGTTCAGTAAACCTGCTCGAGGTCTTGAAAACAAACTCTGAGCCTGTCTTCAAGGTTGAATTTTAGACCACGGCCATGACAAGCAAATACAATGGTACGTATTTATCACTTGCCATTTATGTCATGTTAATCTAAGCCATGTTCAAATGGGAACATTTAAATCTTACCTACTCCTTCCAGCGTTCGCATCAATCTTCCTGACTTGACATCCCAGACCGAACAAGTTGTGTCGATGGAGGCACTTGCAATAAGCTTGCCATCCGCACTAGCACTGATAGCGGATGATGGCTTTTGTTGCCCAGACATCGAATGAATTAAAGGTCCACCAGGTGATGTTAAACACACAGAAGTGGGCAACAGACAAGGTTGCCATGGGTTTCTGGCCTGGTCCAACAAATCTTTGACATGATTCGAGTTTGAGGTTTTAACACGTCCGAGTAGCTGTGTGGCCAGCTGCGCTGGATGTTGTAGTAGAGCAAAGGTAGAAAGTTGTAAGGTTTCCTTCACAAGTTGGATGTCGTCGTCGACGATTTTCTCAAGGGCAAAATCAAAATCATCCATAAGGTCTCGGAGAGAACTTGATTCTAAACAGGTAAGAAGGAATTTGAAGTTACAAAGTACCTCTCGTTTTAATGTTTCGACGTCATTGCACAACACCAAATGGTAGGGGAGCTCATTTATTTTGCGGTAATTGAAATTCTTTGACTTTTTGTTTCCCTCAAATGTCCACGGTTGATGAGAAACAAAACGGTCAGCTTCCAGGATTTTTCCTTTATTCGTCTGGTATGGCTTCTTTCGTCCGTTTGCCCACACACCCAGGAAATAATCGCTCAAAGCCCGATGGTTTAATGTTCTTTCGTCCTCTGAAGAGAAATATCTAGCTCTTGCGGCCTCAATAAATTGTCTGTGGTACCAGGTAATAACACTTGCACCGTCTGCGCCTCTGTCCACGAGGTAACCTGCTAAGTCGCTCCTTATTCGGACCCAAAGCAACGGAGGAATGCGTCTGATGGGTGGTGTCCAGTACTGATAAACGTCATCCAAGACGCGATCATCGCAGGATAGTAAGTCCTCTATTTCAGTTCCAGTCAATCCGCTCTTTGCAGCAGTAATGTAAGCGAGAGCTTGCTGCACCAATATTCTTCCATGCTGAAGCTCAATCCTCTCAAACAAAGCATTTACAGCACCTATTATGACCAATACAGATATCATGACTTGTATTGAGTTCGTGTAACTCACTGACACTTCATTTAAATACTCCTAGAGTGTGATATCTAATTGATACCAACTACGTTTAGTCTAATAGTTCCGTTGTCGTGAAGTCCATTGATACAAATGGATTGTTATATCCATACTGAAATCGAGGTAGGTTCAATTAATAAAATAAAAGTCTGTTTACCTCTGACAGTATCTTGAAGTACAGTCTTGCTAGGCGAGGAGTAGGACTTCCATCTCAGGGCTTCATCACACGCTACTCTGATAAAGATTGGGAGAGAACACTTTTGGAGAGCCTCTCTAACAATGACTTCCTGTGAGGAAGAGAGAGTTCTGCCAGCAACATTCAGCCAATTGTTGAGAATCTGGAATGCGTCTTCTTCTGGCAGCTTTGGAACCTCTACAAAGCTCTCTTCTTTGAGAATAGACTAGTAGTGAAACGAGAGAACACATATGTTATGAACCAGGCGGGAGGTTCTTATGGGAAACAACTACGCGCGAGATCTGGATTACGGCCCGTGATTAATTCGTAAGTTTTCAACCCTTAAAAACCCCTCCAAGGTGTACTTTATTGCTAATTCTATATCTTACGTGATGCAAAATTATGACACACAACTACTCAGGTATTGAATGAGGAACAGTATATTTTAAGCGTGATGCACATCGCTTTACATATGGGGGCATGCAGCGTTTAACTTTGAAGAGTTAACTTTGGGCAGAATTGATCGCAGAAAGCACTGGAAATAAGAATGTTTGTAATACCATTCATTCAACATGATGAATCGAAAAGAACAAACCTCTAAAATTGGGAAGCACTCGTACTGGCTGTCAGGTAAGGTAGAAATAACGAGTTTAGCGTGGCTGGGGAGAACTGTGGGTAGCCAAGTAAGTTTTCTTGCGTTGTCTTCAGGACCAAACTGATCGAGAGAATCAAGGAAAATGAAAAGCGGTTCGTCTGAGTTGGCAAGGCTAAGGCAGGTTATGAAATCTTCCTGAAGGTCTTTCATGTCCTGTAAAAAAGATGGGAAATAAAACCAATTCTACAACATGCATATCCAGATCGCAGTGAATCGTTATCCAAATCGAGCTATGGACCTTTTCAAACTTTCAGTCTTTTCCATTCATCTTCTGATATACACACCTGTCTAATTTTGGTGGGGTCTCGGCCGTAGATAAAGCATATTTGTTGGCAAACACTGTAAAGAAGGAGACGAACTTGTGAAGAATCCGGCGTCGTTCCAATGTATCGAATGACAATGTTCGATTGGCTGAAACAATTCCTGGCTTCTCTCGCCGACATAGAAACCACTGAGGTCTTGCCACACCCTGACTGACCGTGAATCACGAGCGGGTCACATCTATCCTCCTAGACCATTATATTTTCAAGACTTATTACACGGTTTTAAGGATATTGATTGTTGCTTTTTTGTACTTGCGCTGATACAAAAGTATTGTAACAGTTAAAACAGCAAAAAGATTCGATGAAATTAGCGTCAAAGCGATCAAATTAAATGTTTACCTGGAGGTAAGCTCTGCATCGAGCCAGTATTTCTTTTCGTCCATAAAACGTCTCACATTTGGTCTGGCAAAACTTCAAATGTTGCACAACTTCCTCGTAAAGTAGATCACTAACATCCTCTCTGATTCTCTTGTTTATGGAGTGAATGATCTTTTCTTTCATCAAATATTCGACTTCGCCACACAAGTTATCTATATACTCTTCGTGCTCAGATATCGTAGATGGAGAAATCCCCTCAGAGTCCCAGTTAACTTCAAATGTCCTGATATTTGAGGCAGGTACAGCCAAAATCATAAGGTCCTTTAGTTGCTGTAAGTCAAAGGATGACTTCAAGCCTTTTCACCAAAATAGGACCACGATATACAAGTTATTGAACCTGACTGCTTTAAACGCAATGGTACTTAACTGCAAACGCGCGTCTTTTTCTAAAGTATAAAGTACTTCTTGAAGGAGTGATTTTCTCCTCTTAGTGCTATGTATTTCCTTTTACATTAGTTAGAGAATTCGATGTATTTTGGAATAACTCCCTCCAGCACTCTCATCACCTCTTTCCTTGAAAAACCTGTCAACTCTGTTGTTATCAAAAGGTACCAGAGTGGTCAAATGATACTCAAACCGTTTACCTGTAACATTTCTTGCGCATCAGTGTCGATTTCCTTTGTATCATACTTGATATCAATGAAGTAGTGGGCGTTCTCACTTTGCAAGTTATCCTCCAGGTCCCGGATATTTCTGCTTATCCACAAACATTGTTCATCCGGGTTTGGTCCGCATAGAACACCGCTGCGAATCTCGCTTTCGGTCACTACGAATAAAAATGGTGGGGTGTAAAAGTAAGACACACCCCTTTAGGACCATCGAGGTATGGTCTCCATTTCAGATTCCCTTGTGCGTAATTAGCGTAACTGAGTTTATTGTTCATCTCACGGTCAATGCAAAAAACCGTAAAAAACCCGGAGCTTTTATTTCGCATTAAGCAGTAAGGGATAAACGAAGGGGCGTTAAACAGCCTTAAAGGAGACCAATCTCGGGTGCCTCGAAAGAAGCTATGCTATACAAGGATGCCATCGTGAAGGAAGCAATCGAAAGAGGGCTAAGAAAAAGCTCAAATCCAAAAATACAGAAATTTTAAGATTTAATGTTTAACAGGCAGAGCATCGAGTGATTTATTAAATTTTGCTCTTTTCACATTACAGCTACGAGCATTTCTTTCCTCTAGTACCCCTGTTAGCAGACCCGTAATTCCTTCCTTTCGGCCACGCGATTAACTGTTTCTGAATTACCTTGAAAAATCTTGACAAAATTCGTGCTTCTTCAAGCTCCATTCAGTTAAGAGTACTCCCTTAAAAAATATCGACTTTGAGGATGCCCGCCGCTTACAATCCCACTGAACAGACAGGTGTCTTACCTGACATAAAATACTTGTGCAATTTGTCTATATTTGCAGCTCCATTTAACGTTTTTGCTTCTCGTCTGAGCACGTACTGAATCTGAGAAAAAACCTGATTCCATTTCTGCAAAGCGACTTTCCTCTGATCAGCATCGTGACAGAGGTTGTTAGGAATGTGATAGCTGATTGGCTGCAGGACGTATATTGGTGGTACTGCGTTCAAGTCACATTTAAACCACATTTTCAGCAATGCTTTCTCCTCTTGATCTATCATTTTGCTGAGGAGCTCTTCAAATTCTTTTAAAGGTATTTTGGATGGAATCGGGCGGAAACCATACTTTTGGCCTAGAAATGCCTGATGTTAAGAAAACAGGAAAATAGCTAGGAATGTTTTAGTCAGTTCAGTACGACTTGTTAGATTCTGATACAAGATGTGGTCGTTAACACATAGGCACAAACCAAATTCTTTACATTTACGATAGAACCATTTCGCTCGACATAGCGTTTCAGTCTTCTGAAACAACTTTGGAGAATTCACGGTTAGGAAGACATTGGATTTTAGTTTTACTTACCATAAAATTAGGTCCAGTTGAAAGGTCCTGACAGGCTTTAAGTTCCTTTAAGCACAGTTCCAGTGTAGAATGATCATCAGTGGACTCGTCCCGGACACCCCAACGCATATCAACGACCTGGACACAATATAATTTACTATAAGCGTTTGTTGAAAATTAAGCAATAGAAGCAGTAGCTGTCTCGTTCAAGACGTAAATAACGCTTGGTCAAGCGCTTAAATTTGACCAACCTGAAATTCGTAACCCTTCTCTTGTGCAAACTCTTTTAATTTTGGATAGATTCTCTCCATCAGGGCATTCCTTTCAGCCGCCATATCTAATCAAAGACAGGTACATTAAATCTGGACAAAGGATTGTGCTAAGCATATTCGGAGAACTCTTCGTATTACGAGTGTGACACTACTCGTCCTTATGAGGGTATGGAAATTTCGGATACCACAGGTCTCTTAATTTAATTCCGTCAGGATGACCTATCTTTGCACCCGACGGGTAGATTTCTGGTAAAGGTAATAACACATCCCAGTGTTAGTGCCAGTCAGGGTTTGAGCCTGGAACAGTTGACTCGAGCCTTAATGCACAACTACAGTAACTTTATTTACTGCGCCAACCAATCAACATTCTTTAAAGCAAAGTACCATACTTTCTTCGCTAATTGGTTATATTGAAAATCTCTTAATTCAATCCCCGTGGTTTGGCTGAGTTGCTCATAACTGCTAATAATCAAAATGAGATTACACCAAACTGGAAACGACAATATCAAAAAGTGGTAATGATACCATTGATCACGAAAATCTAAAAGCAATGACTACGGTAACGATTATGATTAAAAATACACTACGTTAATGACAACAATAACAACCTGTAAATGTAGAACTGGTAAAGATGCGGATGATCTTGGTCTTAGCGGTCAATTTTTGTTCCAAGGCTCCTCCCATGACTCTCCTATATCTTGCCAAAAGCTCAGGAGACTGGTGCAAAGTGCTCCTTGTGTCTGCTAATGAAGCTCTGGATTCTGAGGATGTAGGTTCATCAAATATGACAGAGCCTGGAGACAATGTCGATCCTGCATTCGTTCTGATGCCAGAATCATTTGATGCCCTGCATAATCAAATTTATGACCAGGAAATGTACTTGCACAATTTTCTTCCTGCCTTAATTTTAGACTTTGCATTACGTTTTTGTGGGTTGGCACGGAACGATCTCTGGGAGCATTGCCTCACATTTCAAAGAGAGTTGCGCAAGAAGACTTTCTTTTCCCGGATTGAGTCTCCCTACTTCTAACCCTACGGTTATTCTTAATCGTCCATCCTGGCCGAAATATCTACATCACCATTGCTAGAAAGGATGGAAAGTTAAAAAATATGTAGAAGTGGTTCAGATCTCCCTCTAGAAAAATTGTCAACTATCGATCGAAAGGCCTTTCCTTGTCATTCATATGCTGTGTGACTGGTGTAAACGCCTTTCTTAATACTATGAGCTTACTTACGTTGTTGAAGAGGGACATGCATTTTCATGCTTGGTTTGTTTCAGCGATCTTGTACAAGCTGCACCCATGTGGAGCACTCCTTACTTCAAGCAAGAACTCCTTGAATTATCCAAAATGACCTCTGAGAGAGAGGATTAGGAAGTGTTGGTTTAACGTTCCCGAATGATCATAATAAAGTACAGCTTTATTTTCATTTCTAAAAATCAAATACTAATGACTGTCTATTTTCCAAAAATCATGCTCTCAGCCCCACTGCTTTTTTTTGTCATGCTCATTTTCCTCTTTTTTTATGTATTTTTTTGACAAGAGAACAGTCAAAGTTATTGTTTACAAACAAGTCCTTAAATTTCTTTGTGAGTTAGCAGTCGTTAAAGCTTCGAGTTGAAGTGGAAATTAACCGTGGTTTGCCTGCGCGTACGGGTGTTACCAAACTGTGGATCTGTAGACAGTGGAACCTGAGGAACCTTTAATTTTCTTTTTTGTGAAAAAAAAAAAATAAAATGTAGACTAAAATACTTTAAAAACGTTAAAAAGACGTTTTTAAATATAAAGAAGATTAGGTTAAAAGACAAAAATGTTTTCTTTATCGTCCTTGACGATAAAGGAAGCCCGAATTCACACAGTGCGCCTCCGTAAATATACAAATTGCATGGGAATATATAGTCGTGCTCTCAACCATAAAAAAAGATCTGGACTAGTTTTGAATAACGAAAAATTAACTCCGCTCAAGTGGATATTCTTTTGCATTGCAAGAATTTCTTGAGCTGATTTAGGGCCATTTAACTCGGTTTTAGTTCACCCGCTTTTGCCCTCTACATAATCCTTTCCAAGATACTTGTATATGTAACGCCAACCAAACGAATCCACATGCATCACGGGCGATGTTACTTTAGGCTCGTCTGCCTTATTCTAGGGTCATGTACAATGAAATGGAGAACCCGACAGATTGCCCCTTGTTACATGACATACCCTTGTACGGCACAATAAAGTAAATTATTTATCTTGTTGGACCTCTAGGAAGTTAACAACATTTCTATATTAATTATTAGTATATACTAAAACAGTGGATAGCGTTGAAGGCGCGCTCTGATTGGCTAGTCAAACTCCGAATATCCTTTGCTATTTACCTCCGAGCAACTCGGGAAAAAATGGCGTCCCTGTTTGCATCCGTGACAAGCGAAGAAATCACTCAAATTAACGACGGTGGTGTATATTATCTCACTGTTTTAGTATATACTAAAACAACTATTCACCTCAGTGTCGGTGGTTAGCGGTGGATATTTACCTCGCCGCTTCGCGGCTCGGTAAATATCCACCACTAACCACCTCCACTTNCTTAGGAAGCCTAGTGAATTGAATGTAGGTCAACTATAATTTACATACATGTTTAGGTGTCTGAAAACACGGTAGTGACTAAAACGAAGACCCCCTACCAAAACGAAGACCCCCTACCAAAACGAAGACCCCCTACCAAAACGAAGACCCCCTACCAAAACGAAGACCCCCTACCAAAACGAAGACCCCCTACCAAAACGAAGGCCCCTATCAAAACGAAGACCCATTACCAAAACGAAGACCCATTACCAAAAAGAAGACCCATTACCAAAAAGAAGACCCATTAATAACTTTCGTTATGTTCATGAGACACACTACGAAAACGAAGATCCTTACGGAAATCTTGAATTCTGAATTTGGCGCGTCTGTAATTGATTGCGGAATATTTAAACAGTAGAGCCCTGTGGAGCGTTAAATGGGACTACTTTAAAGCTAAATCGAGATTTAATCGAAAAGACATGACATGCACATGGAAGATGCGTTGCGTGACGCTATAAGCGATGTAGGCAAATTTTAAGAATTAAAATTATCAACAGGATCATTCATGAAATGTCACTCAAATGAGTTTCCGGAAACATTATAAATACAAAGCGCATTACTGCAAGCTTTGTCCTGTGTGTTTTTCTGCTGGTAAAAATGGAGTCTTATCTTCTATTATCCGTCGGCAAAACGTAGCAGTCAGTAAATGTGACTGATTCTGCCCGAGAAATTTTATTGCCTGGAGCTTGGACTTGTCAGGAGAGTTTCCTTGACAGCTGGATTACACCCCATGTTGTGAAACCATTTGTGAATGTAACCTTTCGGGGCAAAGCCACGTGTAGGCTGTGATAAGAATTTAACACTAGGAGCTCGAGCAATTGAACACACATTGAAGGGTTGAACAATCAGAGTATTTATTAGAAAAAGCGGCGAATCAAAACAGAAGAGCGAACGGATGACAAAATTGAAGTTGTAGATGTGAGCGTAGTTCGAACTAAAGTCAAACATATGTATGATGCACGATCTTCGCAGTAGAGAGCGCTATTTATGCAATAGCGAAAAAAGTCAGACAATTGAAAAGAAAAAAAGGGAAATGGCTTATGTAAGCTAATAATAAAACAACTCAAGAATACTGATAAGGAACACGATCTTATAAATAAAACAAAACGATTGCAACTGGAGACATTTGATTCGCTTAATATATTTGTTTTACGTGGAAAAGAAAGAGTTAAGGAAACGTAATTAAAATAAAATCAATACAGCTATCCTATTTTAGTTGATGGAATATATGAATTCCATATATGTTCTTCTTGAGAGTTGTCTTTTGTAATGTTATCTTTGGCCAGTTGGAAAAATAGAATGGACTCTGGACTGGACTCTGAACTGGACTCTGGACTGGACTCTGGACTGGACTCTGGACTGGACTCTGGACTGGACTGGACTAGACTGGACTTTACTTTTTTGTTAAATTGTATCAATATCTTAAATTTTAGTTAATATTTTACTAATTATTTTTAAATTTTTAAAACAATAAAAATTAATCTAAAAAACTACCCGAACGCTCCTCTGCGATAGCGCGTGGCTCGCGCGATATAAATTTTGTTCTGAGTGCAGCCTACCGGTGAGTGAAATATGCCTTGTTTCCAAGTTTGAAAAGTGTTGACAGATTCAAAATACGAAATAACGAGTTAGAGTATCTTGTATGCGAAAAAAAGAAAAAAATAAATTGGAGAAAACGGCCACGTTTCATGCATTAGGTTTACTTTGCAAATTCCAGAAGAATGAGTTATAAACAGTTGCCTTATTCCAAACATTTATGTTTAGTCAGATTAGCTAGATGAATAAATGAATTACCTTTACCAGCTCTTCGATCGAGTTCCTGGTGGACAGGGCAATGTCTTCTTCTTCATTTTCTTCCTGGAGTTTTCTCCACCAGGAATTTGTCAACGGAGTTGACGACTGATCGTCTCCACTGACAACACTAGCGTATGTACGCTTGGATCTACCCTTCTCTTCTTCATAGTCATAGAGACCACTACCTCCACAGTTCATTTTTTAACACAGAGTTGACAGAAAGGAAACAACGTGGCAATCGCACTCGAGAGATTACGTGTCTCATCGGACTGTTAATCTTAAACTTGCCAATACGGTTGTCAACACACCTGTCAGTAACCTATATAACCCAGATATTCCCAGAACAGAACCTCTGAAAACAAAAGCGTCTTTTTTACTGACAATCGCACGCCAGATGCTGGAAGTTTTCTCCCGCGGGCTTAGCATGGACATGGCCAATCTACAGACGAATTTGAAAGTAAAATGTTGACATTGAATTGTTCCGTAAAATGTACTACAGTCGACCGTTTTCTCCAACTTTTTTTTTCGCATACAAGGTATTGTAACTCGTTATTCCGTGGTTTGAATCTGTCAACACTTTTCAAGCTTGGAAACAAAGCATATTTCCCTCACCGGCAGGCTGCACGCAGAACAAAATTTATATCGCGCGAACCAGGCGCTCTCGCAGAGGAGCGTTCGGGTAATTTCTTAGATTAATTTTAATTTTTTTAAAAAATTAAAGATAATTAGTAAAATATTAATTCCATTTAATATTAATACAGATTAACAAAAAAGTAAAGTTCAGTCCAGTCCAGTCCAGTCCAGNACTCACGAAACACACAAAGGCCGCTTCACGCAGTATAAAAGTCACGTCGTCCCCAAGTCACATGGCACTATAAAATGTCGGAAAACGAGGACGACGATCTCATGGTAATTTTCGATAATTTGCGTTAATGTCTTTCACAAACTATGCTCGATACCTACAAGTTTACCTTGCCTTGCTTGTTGTTGTGCTGTCGGATTTTGCTTGCCTTTGTCTTCCAAACAATTCCAAGGCCATCTGAAGAATTTGGACGCTGAAAGAGTTACTCGGTCCCAGACCTATTCGCGAAAGCACAATTCAAAATGGCCAAAATGTAAAGAAAGGTAAGATGGGTAGCATTACGATCAGTTTGGGCGCTTTTAGGAAACTTGGTTCAACAAAATGGGGAGTTCAAGAACTCGAGGTTGATAATATGTTTGACTAAGGCGAATAAACGCCTTTTGGTCTGAGTTTTCGGGATTTGAAAAAAAAAACTTACGGTTCCGGGTAGGAACACTCCTAAGTCTTGTTTTTTATTATTAATATTTTACTTTACCCCTAGTCTGAATTTTAACCCTGGTCTGCAGTCTGCAGTCTGCATTTTACCCTCAGTCTGCATTTTACCCCCGGTCTGCAGCCCGCAGTCTGCAGTCTACGTTTTACACTGACCGGTCTTCGTTTTGGTAATGGGTCTTCGTTTTGGCAGGGGGGGTCTTCGTTTTGTGGGTCTTCGTTTTGTGGGTCTTCATTTTAGTCACTACCATTTGCTCAGAAGTTATTCAAATCAACTACGGGTTTATTAGAACTTGTGAGTGCGACAAAATTACACACGCATGCACACAGCAGTACTCGTTTAGTTACCCTAGAATTCAGGCTCTGAGTTCCAAAGACAAACGAATACAGCTGTGAGAATGCATGTATTCTATTTGAATAGGACGAGCATAATGTTAGCAAAGTTTGACCATGCATTAGATGAATCCGGTCTTCTGCGTCGACCGCCCAAAGAACCACAACTTATCCAACTTACCAGTGGCAAATAGTACGATTTTAATCGCAATTACTAACACTGCTGAAGTGAAAGTACTCTCTCTTTGCCCCCATATCTAAAAATCGCATCTCACTCTTCAACTAGACTATCTACAGGAATCCGTTATCTTTCACAAACCTATCCAGCCTCAATTAGTCTATTAATTGTCCAACATGTAAATCCAAAATGTAAACAGTCCTGAGCCATTGTACTGACGATTTGACGTGACAATGAGTGAATCATCTAATTTTTAGATTTAAATCTTACCAGGTGACGTATCTCTCCATACTCTTCCACATTGTTGCTTTTAAACTACTCAAACTTGCCATCAAAGGGCATTTCTCATGCACTCGAAATACTCAACGTTCGAAGCGTGATGCACGCACAATTCGATTATGCAAATAGTGGACACTTGAATCAGGGGTTGTTGCCTAGCAATGTCAAGTGTGATATTAGTGAGTTTACAAATTAACTTGGTGAGGAGAGAAAATTAACATATGAACGATAATTGGTAAGCAAAAGCTCGAAACCCTTGATGACACGGGTAACGGAGTAAAGTTATAATTTATTGCGTGGTTAATTTTTTTTGAGAAGTGGCTCGTGCTGTATTTGTTTATCGTCTTCGTAGAAGTTGTATATGCGTTTGTGCTAGTGCGTGCGTTTTTTTTTTTCTATCAGTGAAAAACTTTGACTTTTTTGCACAGAAAAATCCCGCCTCGATTACTCGATTAGCACTGCTATCTGCGGAGCCAGGGGAATAAGCGTTTATTGTCAAATGACAAATAAAGTAACTGCAGAATACCCCGTCACTCATTTACCCCGTCACTCATTTACCCCGTCACTCATTCGAACGCTACAACAGGTAGCGTTCGAATGTATCGTCTGTTTAGAAAAAGCCTGAATTCGAATCCAGTGTAATTATCCAAGAAATGAATGTTTAATTCCATATTCATTCAAGCTGCGCTTCGATAAAAGCTTGCGTTTTTCAAAAGAAAAACACGCACACGCCTTTTGTCTTGAATACGTTTTAGATAAACCTCCACTCACTGACAAGTTCCCCCACTCCCCTCCTCCCCCTAGCACCCCTTAAAATGGGACATCACTGGACAAAAACATTTCAATTTTGCACGGAGACGACCTAACACAAGACAAAGGTACCCGCTATGGTTTGCACATTAAACAATAAAAGATTTGCCGAAAAAAATAACGAAACCACAAAGCAAAACCAAACACTTGATGTACATTGTGTAAAAAAATATGAATGATACGAAACTGAAATGGTTTAACAGATTTCGTTAAAAAAAACAAAAACAAAACACTACAATAGGTGATGTACTCTTTTCTTTTACTAATAAAACTTTTTAAGCTGTTAGAAAAATCTTTTCTTTTAATAGTAAAACTTTTAAGGAGTTACAAAATATTTCAACGCTAATCATGACTTTACCCTTCAAACGTGTCGCAAATATTGGTACTTCCAGTGACGGACGAGGTTTTTTTTTGCAGTCATTTTAATAAAGCTATGGTGAGATTATCGTTTGACGCAGTTAAAACACCGAGAATCACCTATTTCATTATTAAATTGTTGCCTATTTATGCCGAGATGTAAAATATGCTCAATAAAAATTGTCTTGTGATTAATGTAATATTAGGACTCATGATGCTCAGCGATAAAATAATTTTTGACGGTGTCAAATTGCTCATCGTAGTACTGGTAAAATTAACAATTCACGAAAATTGCTGCAAACCTTTTCACGACGCATTCAAGGTCTCTGCGTTATTCTGTAGAAATGTTCAGTTGTTTAAAAAAAACCTTTAGCTCAAAAATTCACTCATCACTTGCCGTCTATAGTAAAGTAGGCCGGTCATTGTTTAACTTTCATATTTTTGTTATTTTAAGAAATCTTCATTCCGTGTCGTAGCAAAAATCATCATGTACATGAAAGTTAAACTGGTCTGGATTACTCTCTTGCAAACAGAATCAGTGTTTCTGATCGATGGAGTTATTTAAATCAGTTCTACATAATTAGCCGGAAACAGTCCCCTATTTCCGTTACATGTTCCCATCCACCATCCGTCATCCACTTCCTCTATGTCAGTGATGACGTCATCAGGGTCAAATGTTATCTCATCGTCTGCAGCTAGAAATGAATTGAAGGAGTCAATGGCGGTGTCTCTTAAGTCCACACATGGTTGTCTAAGAAATACGTTCGTCATACATAGAATGAAAATCTTTAAGGTGCGGAAAGCTCAGCGAGGGGCAAAACACATTGAACAGAAGAGCACTGTGTTGAACGAACGAGAGTTCAGCTAGAAATTTTCAGTGCTATTCGTGCCGGACGGTAAGTACAGATTTCGCTTTGTCAAGTTGCCTAAAAGACAAGTATTTTATTGAGATTTTGGATTTGCGCATTTCAGAGCTCGGCAGTGCTCCCTGATGTGGCGGGAAAAGCAAGAATAACAAATTGAAAGACTTACTTGCTTGATAATCGTAAAGTGCTCTCGCAGTTTTTCCTGAGGCTCCTCCGCTGACCTTCAACAAGTACAAAAAGAAATATTACGCTAAAGTAAAAACAACAAGCCTCACGATGATCATACTAAGCTATGGCGGAGGGGTAAACATAAATGTAAATATAACTGAAAACGCTCGCAACCAACAATAGTCCCTTTGACGACCGCATTCCCTTAGGCATTACCAAACTACAGTTTCTCGTAACTTGTATGATGCTTTTCCGAAATTTACATCAACTGCGTGATCAATTCTTATTCCATTGAGCCACCTTTGACTGAACACTGAAACTGTGACAGCATAACTATACTTTTAACTGTAGCATCTATGTAACCTTCTACCTCTTCCTGGGTTGTTTGCTGTTGTTGGGTAACTTCCTCGTAGAGATCTGTAGGTTCTGGGTCATATCTCTGTTCCCCTGTCTCTTCATAGGTCGCTTCAGGTTCGTTTTCTTCATACTCCTGCTGTGCTTCAGCTTCTTCTTGTTGTCTGGCCGCTTCCTCCTCTCGCCGAGCTTCTTCCTCGGCCTGACGTCGGGCTTCCTCCTCCGCCTGGCGACGGGCTTCCTCCTCTGCCTCCTCTCTGTCGTGTGCTTCTTGCTGAAAAAGACAACATTACGCAAACCTTTTTTTTTTAATTGTACGCTGACTGCATACGAGCTTTGCTCGACAGTGAGTTCTCTTTAGCACAGTCGTTAGCTGGAGCATACGCCCACCAATCGAACCTGAAAGGGGCTCGAATCCTAATGGATGGAAGATTAGGTTTATTTTCTCCTATATTGAGTTTTTCAAATCTGTTACCATCGTTTGAACGGTTGTATCAGATATTAGGCTGAATTTGGACTAATAATTAACCACTTTGCCCCAAGTCGAAATAAGGCTGGGTTGATTAAGTACCTCTGCATGCCTTTTCTCGTTGATCTCTTTCTCTCTTTGTTCTCTTGCTTGTCGCCGAGCTCTCTCTTCTTCTGCGCGTCTCTTGTTTTCCTGTAACACCAAAATTATTAACATTTTGGGTAAACGAATAATTATTAACAAGAGCTCAAAATGCCAAGAAAACTTAAAAGTTCTTTAGTATGGTACTCATCAACAGACCTCTTCCTGCTCTCTGGCTAAGTTTTCAAACTTTGACTTCAAGTTGCCTGCTGCTCCAGACCCTGACCAATGCAAATTTTGAATCATACATCTTATAATTAGAAGAAACTAACAAACAAACAGGCCCATAACAAGGACAGTGTCTTATCTGCACCGACTTTATCGCGATTACGGTTGTACACCATTCGCTTATTATTTTTTTAACCAGTACTCTTTCGGTTAGGTGGAAGAAAGCTGTCTGGCTTTGGCTTTCACAGAACTAGAGATGGATATTCTACAAACTTCAAGGGCAACCATAACAAAAACCATTCTTGAGAGGAGGAACGTTAACAACCATTCAAACTTATTGTTTGCAATAGCCCTCCACCCCCCCTTCCTCCCCATAAAAGGTTTGCAAAAACAAAGACGCAGCAAAAATGTTTGTCTTCAAACCCTACTCCCAGCCACAGAAAAAGAAAGGGGCGGTTGGTAAAAAAATAGGGGAGCCTTTCTAACTCACGCACGCAAACACACACACACACGAAAAAAAAAAAAAAAAAAAAAAAAAAAAAAAAAAAGGTTTGCGAACAGAACCGACCTGCACGTGGTTTTGCTGTCTGATAAGTTGATTTTACTTCTTGCATTTCATCAAAACCTCCAGCAGACTGAAGAGTAAGGATAAACAAGCACAGTTTACTTGCAAAACATTTCACATATCAGTAAGAATGTGCTACTCCTCTGAAAAACTTCAAACTAACTTCTCCTTGTACAACAGATGAACGATTAACTTCGGGTGTTTAATGATGGAGCGAAACAGTGGCAAACAACAAAGTTGAGCTAGGGTGTTGGAAATATTCAAGGATAATGAACGTATCAGATTCCCTCAATCACACTTACTGCATCTTGTCTATCAGTCTGGACGCCAAATTTACCACCAAAACCTTTGGAGTGATCTGAAGTACAATGGAAGGGAAATAAGCTGTGTTCGCGTAAAACAAAGCCTCCCTTTATTCATCTCTTTTGGGCAGAACAAATAAAAAGCTGTTGTAGAGGTGACCATTCTACAGAAGTTTTTCTAGCACTGGGGGGGAGGGGGGGAGAAATTGTTGTAGGTAGTAACGAAGACAAACGCTATGCCATATTAGATAGGTGAGCCATTTGAGAGGACTTCACATGCTTCGCCGCACTAAGTTACATCTGCAATCACCTTTTCAATCCCCGGAGTGACTGAAAATTAATTTCTTACAATATCGGCAGATTAAAAAAAGAAAGAAGATGAGAAGTACGAAAGTATCAACTGAGAGCACTTAAGTTCACACCAATTTCTCAGATCGAGAGTAACAAGAATTGTACGACAGACAAGGTGAGAAATTTATCGTCAGAGCTTGAGAGCGAAAGGGTTAAGCAACAGGTATTTGTTGCGTTCAACTTTCACGTAAATCAATTGAAAGTGTATTCGTCTATTTATATAATTTGCTCAAAAGAGCGCTTTTTGAATGAATGTCGCAAAACCAAAACCAAAGTAATCACAACGGCCACTCAGAAGACAGGAATTGCCTTTCAGAGCGAATGAGAACTCAAAGTAAAAACGACCAAACTGCCTAAAGCGCGGGAAAACGCCGGCGTGATTGGTTTTAGTTTTGCAGCTGATTGGTTGAGAGAGTAGCGGGAGTTTTCTGGATCAATCAGAGAGCGAAGGAAGGCAAAACCAAAGCAACCCAGGATTACACATTCGACATGCAATTGAAAATTGCTCTACTTATTCTTGCCTTGAAAATACTTCAGACATGTACACAATCCCTCGCAAAGGCAGTAGCAAGACATGACTAACCTTTCTGAGAGGAATGTTCCTGAGTTTTGCCTTGGTATTCAAAGCCCACAGCCGACTGGGGAGATAAAATAAAATTGTCAGGTACTAAATCTTACATGTATGAACATTGAGGTTGACTTTAATTCAGAAAAAAATTTCAATAAATTGACCTGGTCAACTCTGTCTGTTTGCACTCCATATTTTCCTCCAAAGCCTTTTGAATGATCTGAAAGAGATAAAATAATGTGATTGGACAAATCGATTCCAACAAGCTAGAAACAAATTGCTTTCAACATTGCACCAATTTTTAAGAGCCATTTTCAGAGGTACATGTGTGTACATGTGTATGTTGAGATAAATTGTTTTGCAACAAAGTAGGAATTCATCTCTTTCAAGAGGAGAAAATATCTTGAAAGAGATGAAATTCCTAAAATGATTTTTGAATAAATTAAAAGACACCTTTTTGTGAAGCATGTTCTTCTGTCTTTCCTTGGTATTCAAAGCCAACAGCAGTCTGGGAGGAGAGAAAAAAATTAAAAATTGTCATCATCAAAAATGTGTTATATTTGCATCATGTTTAATTTTCAAATAGTACCTACAAACCCATGAAGAACTCAAAGCTGAAAGTACTTAATAAACAGGAGTTATCTGTGTCACTGGGACACAGGTGTTAACTATAAGCCATTTGAGAAGAAAAAAATCTTGAATTGCACCAGATAGGAGTCATACTGGTTTTTCAAAGGACATTTTTTGCAATAAGCTTTACTATGCTAAATCTGCAAACAAGGTGGTGTCAGAAATTGCTGAATTGGTGATTTATATTTTTCTGAAAATCTCATAAAGTTAAAGAAAACTCACACACTGTTTGGCTTTTTTAAGCTCTAAATTGCTCAATTATTTCACCCCAAGGCAGAGTTAAAAATTATGCAAAGTGAAAGAACAATTACATGTATTTGAAACTCATAATTGTTCAGAAATGGTAATTTAAGGAAAATAATGTATTCATCATCTCACAGAGATTCACTCAAGATATTACAGACGGAATTTCTTATCATTTTATAACAAATAGGTATGGATGCATACAAAATTTGAAACCATGCATTTTCTTCCTCCACAATTTGTAAACAATGGGTGAAATTTTTTCACATGATCAGAGCCAATGGTCAGTAACAACAGAAAAACACAATGAAATAGCAATAAATAAACTAGAGACAAGTTTTCCTGTTATTTTTATCAAGCTGCATTTCATTTCATAACATGAGATTATAAATTAAAACAACGAAAAATTGAATTAACTTCTACTTCATGCAGTCATTTTGTTAAATCAGTTTTAAGAGGCAATATCAAATCCTCTATGTGTTACAATCCCATTCAGCTAAAAACTAAACACGATTTGAATGGAAGAAAAACATCTTAGAGGCTGCTCCTTGCTCCTCCTGCTGGCTCATTCATCTTCGGGCTGTTTAAAGAAGAAACAAATTTATATTAATATGACTGGTTGGCATGAGGCAGGTCAATTGTATCCCCATTCTGTCAACGAATAGATCAACAATTAAAACTACATCACAAAGAAATGCTTAGTGGGCATCAGAATTCTCAAAGATTTCAATGCTAGTAAAATTTTTTTCAGGCAGTAAAAATTTATCAAAATTACTTTTATCAGTTTATGCCAACTGAAAGAAGAAACTTCAAAGACACTTTTGGTATGCATCTGATGGTTAAAATTCACTTTTCCATACACAAATAAATGTATAACCAGGAGTACATGCAGATTTTTAAATAACTTCATACACAAATAAATGTATAACCAGGAGTACATGCAGATTTTTAAAAAGTCTCAATTTCTTACAAAGTCTCAATAATGGAATAATTTAGTTGTTCAACAGTCATTAAAAAATCCATGGGTTAAGAGATGATACACAAGGGGGTACAACTGACCTGTGTTTGATGTAAATGACCACTCAATATAATTTGTAACATTCTGCACAAACAAGCTCTAAATTTTAAGTAATAAGAAATACTTGCATGATTGTATCTAAAATGTATTTTGTCTACCTAACTACAGTGTCACTACCTATTTGTATGTTTCTTCTGTCTACCATTCCATTTTGTAGTCATTTATCTTGTAAAGAAATGTAACAGATATTCTTCATTTCTAGTGAGTGTCTTAGCTGTATTTTTCTTTTTTTGGCTCTTTTTCTCTCCACTCTTTAATTCCCATGAGTGACCATGACAGAACTTCTTATAACAACGTCAACAAAATATCAAGCTGACATGTGATGTGATGGGAATAATAAGAAAAATCAATTGGGGGATTATTAATTTATCCAATGCCAAATTCTCTGAACTAACATCATAACAAATATTAAATGGCAAACAATAAGGAGAATTACCACTGAGATCTTGGTACTGAAAGAGTTAGGTTATACCAAAATGCAAACAGAAGTTAGCTTAACTTAGTTCTCAACTACTTAAGGTCAAAAACATACAGTCATGTAAATGTATCTCAGATTTAAAACTAGGTTAGTTTTAAGCTGGATGAAACACACAATGTATTTGGTTGATTGAGAATAACTTCAAGTGACTTTTTCTTTGGGTCGCCCCATACAAATCTTGGTCTTTTCCTTGTGTATCTTGCTTCACAGTTCATCCCTCATGCTCCACGTATAAAGTTCATACTACTTTAATTTGTTGTTTCAGAGAATACTCTTTTCTTTTTCATATTTCACTTCCATTTAGATGTAACATGGTGCATAATTAATTTTACCTTTTCCAGGAAAAACATCGTTACCATCTAAGTATAGCCATAATTTTAGATCACTGGGTGAAATACTGTCAATTTGCAATTTCACCACTATACATTGTCACTTTATATTTCACTTTGCTCTTCTAAACAAAAAGACATGCTTTTAGATAACCTCTCATGGATATGACGTTGATGGAAAAAAATTGAGAGGGATTGCTATCTCCTTGATGGAAAAATCTGAAATGACTGTCTTTGAGTGAGTTCTACCATGATGACACACTACCAACTGAATTCAACTGCTTGTCCACGGTGAGTGTCATGACAACACAGTTCACTTTAGTTAATGATGTCATTTGCACTTTACATCATGTTTTGCATGGTCTCTTACTACTCCAGATTCCATTCTGCTAGGTTGGGTCATCCATTGCTGAGTTTCATTCTGGGTTATGGACACAACAGTATTCTAGAAATACTGAGTATACACTGGAATATGCTGCACATCACAAGCCATTCTTTTCAATGTACACATTCCAAAGGATCTTGTTCCTAACTTTCCTGGGTGCATTTGTTTTTGTATGATACTCACTGAAGTTCTTTTTTTAGTTCAAAGTTGATTTACTTGGGACAACAACAGTGCATGTACAGCATTGTCAGTAGCTAAAAACATTCCACAAGCAAACCAATGACTGATCTAAAAAAACAGCAAACCTGACTACCTCAACATCACTAAGAGTTTCAGCAACTTCCTGCTCTTCCTCTAAACCATTTATCTCTCTATCTGCTGGCAACTGTCTCAAACTTCCCCAGTCAACACCATACAACTACAGTAACTGAAATTGGTAAACAGAAAATGTTCCATTTCACTTACATAAGATGCTGACAAAGTTTCAAATTTGCCGAGGATTGACTAGTCTTCCTTCAAATCTTGGCTTGAAAAATTCCTTCTGTCAGCTTCTCCAAAGTTTAAGAACTTTGCTTCCATATGACCACACCATTGAAACAGGACATGCTTGTTTCACTTGATTTTAAAAATGATGGTCAACAAAATGCAAACTGACATTGTCCAACTCCTTTCTGGTCTGGTATGAGTTGTGTTCTTCTTACTTGGCTCTTTGAGTTGTGTTCTTCTTACTTGGCTCTTTGCTCTTGACTTTCAAAAGTTGTGGATGATGATCAAAACCTGCTATTAAGCATCCAGGTGTACAATACACCCACAGCATGGATATGCTTCTGAACAATCTTAGTATCATTTTCTCCTCAAAACTAATATCCCTAAAGTTTAAAACTTTTTCCATTTTAAATTCTTGATCATGCAAGTATTTAGAACCTTTAATTTAATTTAATTTAATATTATAGTTCAAATAGACTTCTGCAGCTGTTGACCATAGATTGAGTAGCCCTAAAGTATCCTGTTGGCAATACAATGGTTTCAATTGCACTCTGGTAGTAAGGTGGTTGCACCATTGGGGTCTGCCCCACAAAGTAAAGTAGGTACACTCTAATATTAGCAATTAATTCATGGGCAGAGGCATCTTATTTTTTGTAGTTCCCTCCACACCCACTGTTAATACAAAATACACGTGTAGAATAGAATTTTCAAAGTGTCAAGTGGCTGTAAATTCACTTATGATTGAAAAAGCTGAATAAACTTGATGGTAAGAATGCTGGGAGATAGATTTAACAAATTATAAAATAATCAATATCATTATGATGCATTAGGAGAAAAAGACTTCTCCTTTAAGCCAACAAAAATCCTCAAATTAACTCTGCCTTTCCCCAAAATGCCGGTTCCTGTCTAGCCACCACAAACACCACCGAGACCTGCTAAAGAGTTATCAGATGAATACTGTACCTTGTCCACTCTATCCTTCTGAACTCCATACTTGCCACCAAACCCTTTTGAATGATCTAACAGGAGAAAAAATAAATCTCACAAGCTACACCACCATTTGAGGCTTAGAATAGGGCTTATCTACTTTTGGTAAGAATTTATTTGTACAAAATTAATGCACTAAAAGTTTTTCAGAGCAAGAAAATTTGAATCAATTTTTTCTAAAATATACAATGTACAGTACAAGGTAAAATATTCTCTTCAAGTTTGGTTGAAAATATACAATGTAGAAGGAGGTACCTTTTTGTGAAGCATGTGCTTCTGTTTTCCCTTCATATTCATAGCCAACAGCCACCTAAAGAAGGAAACAGTTATTGGTTTATTGTCCATGTGTTGTCAGAGGTGTAAATCTTCTGAAAACTGAAATGTGGACATGTTTAAGTTTGGATGTTCCACTGTCAGTGATCATACATGAATGAAATTGCACAAATCCATGTACATGTACATTGTAATTTTGTTCACCTTATCAACTCTGTCTTTTTGGACTCCAAACTTGCCGCCAAATCCTTTGGAGTGATCTACATGTAAGAACACAAGAGAAAATTTTAAAACATTTTGTTCAAATATGGAATTGTACAAGAATTAGGCAGAAACCTTAATTGTCTTGTAGCTTACAACATACAGAATGATGTACACTCTGAATTGGATTGAAACATTTTCAACAAAAATAATTTGACAAACCTTTAGTGGAAACATGTGCTGCAGTTTTGCCTTCATAGTCATAACCAACTGCTGCCTGTCATGTAAGTAAGGTAAAAAAAATAAAATCTCAAAAGAGTATATAAACTTACATCAAATTGCTATTAATTTAGAAGTTGAACGATTAAGAAGTGTTCACTGTACATTTTAAATAAGAGAGACTCAGAGATTGCATCTTGATTACCGCTAGATTTTGAAACATTTTGGAAGTTGTGATGACCACCAGAATTGCTGTTACAGTATAATTGTACAGTACAAAGCAGCTGTCCAAAATAATAATCACCTGGAAACAGATTGACTCATCTTTTATTATTTTCACTACGTTGGGTTTTGCCATACACTATGAGCAAATCTACTGTGGATGGATGGATGGATGACCTTTATTTAAACACGATAAAAAATTTAAAGCTACAAGCTTGTGGGTCATGTATTATTTTATAATTAAAAACAAATCCTAATGTAAATAAAATGTCAAAATATTGACAAGATTAGTAACTATGAAGCATTACGAATTATACATTAAATTTATTTTTTACGAGATGAAATCATTACTGAATGGGTAAAATATCACTAAAATGTTTATTCAATCAGTGTCAGTGTTTAGTTTTTAAGTTCAGTAACTTTTTGGCTACTCTTTCAAGGAGCATTCAGTTACTTCATGTACACAGCCATATGATGAAAATAACACTGTCATTTACCTGATCAACTCTGTCCTTCTGAACACCATACTTCCCACCAAATCCTTTTGAATAATCTGTTAAGTATAATTATAGGGATACAATCAAAGGTGAGAATTATACACAGGCATTTGTATCGTATAATGTGTGCAAGCTAGGTGAACACCTCTCGGTTCATCGGTTGTTACAAAAGGACAATGAAACAGTGGATTGCACAAGCTGGACTGACAAATCAATCAGTTGAAAGTAAGTATCCTCATTTATCCCCCCACCTATTTGTGCGATTTTATTTGCAACTTTATGTCACATGATGCAAAATATTTTTTTTTTTCAGTCAATATATCACAGTGACTGTGAACATTACCAGTGGACATACCAGCAGCCTGAAGGAGTTTATTTACTAAAGAACACACACCCTGTTGTGAAGCATGCTTCTCAGTTTTGCCTTCATATTCGAATCCAACAGCCGCCTAAAATGGAATACAAAATGTTGAAACAAATAGTGAACAAAAATAAATATTGAATGTGTAACTAAAATTAATACAATCATTAATTTATAAATTACTTACTAATAAAATTAATTACTAAAGACCATGAATATCAATCAGTCAGTGAAACATAATAAGTCAGCTGTAATTAGTACTGGAAGTCAGAGCCACTTAGTGGGAAACATAGGTAAACTATGAATAATATACTTAAAGAATTACAAGATCATGTACTTGTAATCAAACTAAATTCATATAAATTTACTACTAATCTGTTGTTTACTTGGTACCTGCACATGAATGCCAATGTACACCTAGCCCTGCCTTACTGCCATTGACAGTTTTAAAGTTCTGGAAATACTTCGTACAGTAAAAAGATACTCACACTTGTGTGTACACTTTGGTTAGTAAACCACAGAGTAAAGCTACTGAATACAGTATTACAAGACTATGCATTCAAAATACAAATCTTAAAAATTAACTTAAAGGATAAACCTGGTCAACTCTGTCCTTCTGAACACCATACTTGCCACCAAATCCAGTAGAATAGTCTATCAAGATAACCAATAAAAGCCAGTGAGACAATTTTATGGTCTTCTATAGATAAACGTACATGGAAGCAGTGATTTCTTTAAAGAAAAGATCCCTAAAAGCTGTTGGCTAAAGAATGACTTACCCCTCTCTAAAAACTTTGTCTGTAAACACTTTAAATGTGCTCAATACATGTAACATTGGTTATCATAACTGCAAGTCAGTACAATGTACTTCCAGCTCATGATAACAACTATGTGTCCATTGTTTACAGAGCCATAAGTGATAAACCTGTACATGAAGTCACCTGAAGGTAACAGCCAAGTGAATTTAGCAGTAATAAAATGACTGCTATATGTAAATAACCACCCTTGATACTTTAATGGAATCAAAAGATGCAGTACCCATACCTCACAGTACCCCAAGACCACTACTGGAGATGGTGTTTCTGTTGCAGTTCAATTTTGGTGTATCTGTTGTAGTTCGATTTTATCCTTGGTTCAAATTTTATTTTTGTTTGTTTCAAACTCATTATCATACATTAACATGACCGAGAACAAAAGAAAAAAAAATTTGAACCAAGGATAAAATTAAACTACAACATATCCACATTTAGTATCCAACTACACTTCATAGAGTACAAATAACGCCATAGACGAGTACAAATATCACGTGTATTTGTACTGTACTAACTAGAGTACCGGTTAAACAGGTTTTCTCACATTGCGCAAGCGAAGAATTGAATTGTAGTTACGAAAAAAAATGGCAGACAATTTGAATCATTATTTTCGATGACGAAGAGTCAGAATGGCTGGCAAATATACATCCAAGTTTATTACATGAATTGAATGAAGAAAAACAGCAAGATGACCTGGAAATTTCTTCACTTATTGAAGAAAAAAAAAGCAACACGACAACGCGCCAATTCCGTTCCACTTCGCATACTTCTGTCATACACTCCCCGTAAATAAATATCTGTGAAATTCGCCTGCACTGAAATAACAGTTTGGCGTGTTGGATTATTAATTAATTTATTAGATGTTTTGTTGTGTAGTATCGCTGAGTATTTTCACTTCTTATTTGTATTTTGACAAGCCCGTACAAAACGTCTAATGAGATATATGTATTTTACACAGTTATGGTACCATTCTTACAATGGATCTTATTACATTCTAATTAGGAGTTGGATGCAGATATATCACTTAGAAAAACCCTAACCTGTTTGTGATACATGCTTCTCCACCTTCCCCTCATAGTCAAATCCAACTACAGACTGCAAAGAGAATATTATATGTAAGTTACTATAATGTTATAACCTCAAATCTATGATACATCTATTTATAGCAAGGAAAAGTAACAGAGGATAAGCAAGAGTACTTCAACACAAAAATTAGCTACAGTAATAAATTAAAGTACTGTCAGTAAAACAAAACCTGACAGTGAACAACTTCTGACTAATACCTGATCCATTCTGTCTTTTTGCACTCCAAACTTCCCACCATAACCATAGGAAGCTTTAGGACTATTCCACTCATCAAGGAAAGAGTTCTCTGCCCAATTGTTTATCATGCATGTACATATGTATCTGTACACACCTAATGCTAATACACAGGGCAAATATATGACACTTGTACCAGGAAGCTATATGTCATACTATACGTCATGCATGCATGCCCATTGACAATCATTTAACTGAGGCTTACTGTGGTTTCCTTGGCATGAAGCGATTAGAAGTATTATCACTCTCCTTGGATGGGATGCCAGTCCATAAAAGGGTTACCCCCCCCTTCCACACCATTTCATTGGGCTTCCCTAACAATTTGCTAATAATAATAATAATTTAATATTTATATTGTGCAAATTAGCATGTGGATATGATCAAATGCGCATAACAACAGTTTTCGGGGACTTTGGCCAGACTGCATGAGCAGTTTACAAACAATCGAAGGAAACTTATTTGAAGATGCCCCCCCCCAATTCCCAACAAACAAGCCAGACCACATCACAGTAATCCCGTGAGTAGGTTCTTTAACATCCCCTGCCTAACCAAATTAACTAATTAATAGATGCAGGAGACGGGACCAACGGTTTATTCGTCCTTATCCGAGAAGACCAGAATGTCTATCCATTTCTTGATAATTTTATTATAGAAAGGTAACACATTCTCCTCAGTTATTTTAAGACCTTGAGTGTTGGTCCAGCCGGGGCTCGAACCCTTGACCTCGACCTCCTGCACAACAGTCAAGCGCTCTAACCAATTGAGCTAACTGGGAGGCAGTTAGTGGTAATGCAAGTGGTCACTTGTACTCCTGTGTGGACAGAAGCACTGTGAAAGTACAGTACAACAGAATGATCTGGCAAAGGTTTGAACCTGAACCTCTGGACCTAGAGTCAAGCTCACTAATCATTAGGTCTCTGCATCTGCCACTCTTGCTACATGTGGCTTCATAATTTATAATAAAAACTGATCTCTTGTATTATCCTCAGTTATATACAATTATTTATAAACTAGTAGGAATGCAAAACAGCCGTGTGTCAGTTTTGCATAGATCTGTGAATTAAAACATAACTGTAATCCAAAGGATACCCTTTCTCACTTTCATCTGAAAAAAGAAAAAAAGAAACGGACTTTAATGAGAAACTTACTGATTATGGTATTCTCTTCAAATAGACTCTTGGGAAATAAAACTTAGCAAATACATGTTTTGCAGCAGATAAGCTCTCTATAGCAAATCAATCACAATACAGAAACACTAGGAACTTCATTAGTGTGAGACGTGGTGCTCCTCAAAATGTATTGTGGCACCAATGCATTGTCTTTATGAAAGTCACTTTGTTTCCAAAAGTAAGTCTAATGTGACTGTCACCAAAACACAATGAACTGATAATAAGTTCCTCACCTTGTTTAATCTTTGCATGGTCTTTTTCTACACCTTTTCGAAGATCCTTTATACTAACAAGAAGGTAGATGAATTTTATTTTCAGGCAATGTAACACTCAACGGAACTGCATCATTGATGTTTTCTAGTATTATTTGCTCCTACATGCACCTTACATGTAACTGAGCACCACTGCCCTTATTTCCATGCACCATACCTCCAATCGAGGATGACTTGGATTTTATATGAATTACAGTGACACCGCGGAAATACATTTTTGTGACGTCACAGTAACTGGTCAGTGGTCATCAACTTTAGGCTGCCAAGCAGTTCCATATGTTCCATATGTTCCATATGAGGACATCGGCTTTTTGCGTGGTTTTAAGTTGGAAAATATGCATGATACTTCTCCTAGGTTGTCATATTTGATCCTTTGAATTAGTTTTTAATACTAAAACCACGTTTTAACAACTAGCGGTTTAGGGGAGTCATTTCGTTTGGAGTTGTGTGCTGTTTACTGACTTAGGCTGACCGTCCAGTTACGAAGCGCGATCTTGGTTCTTCAGTCACCCTCACCTTCAGAATTGTCAAAAACAGCGATAGTTATCCAGACAAAGCAGGAGATTAGTTCTGTAAGATACTTTACCAGCGAGTCTGAAGACTGGTTGGATTTTTAAGTGTTATTAGCATGAAGCGATACAGGTAATTATTGTGTTTTGAAAATATTCATACACTCACTTTGCGCCGACGTGTGGTGCCTTTTCATTTTGGTAATTATTCGCTTGGATGAGAATTTTACCTTTATAGACTGATTTTTCGCCATTCTACCCTTCTGATTTTCTGTGCCTTTAAGGACGGGTGTCCGTAATCAAAATATGAAAACATTTGTTCATTTCATATACTTGCAGTTTTATCAACAAGTTATCTCGTGAACAGGCACAACCAAACGTACTAAAGACATGTAATAGAGATCTACTATCAACTGCTGT